ATTTTTCTAAATGTAAATAAAAAGTGAAAACTAGAATACTGTCATGGACATGTGTGCATTCATAGTCTGCAGAGTGCCAGAAAGTGTCAGCGTTGGCTGCTGCTGGTGGAGCACAAGAGGCAGTGACCTGGTTGTCAGCACACATACCTTAACACATAATATAACACATTTGAAAGATGGGAAGTTTAATGTTCCAAAAGGTCCAATAGTTTGTGACAGGTTACACAGCCAGGATTACTTAATCTGCTTCAGTACAGTTAATAGAAGACAAATGTAAACCTGCACTTTTTAATTAATTGAATCTGTTCTTCAGCAGATCATACTCGTCTATATGTATCTGATCATTCTTATTCCACCCTCTTATCTCTCCCGCCCACCCCTGTCATTCCAGCTACAAGTCTCTTTTCTGTATCCATGTCTTTTTGTTTTGGGGCCCACTAAGTTTAACCAGGCCTGCCTATTGTGGATGTGGAACTGTCACTAAAATCTGGTAGTCTCACCTGTGGAAATACAACTGAAGATAATGATCTCCCACTGCCCTAATATCTATAAATAGCCAGTAATGCCTCGGGGAGGGCTACGGCCACGTGACTCAATTCTCTATCCACGGCTGACTACTGACAGGCCGGCATACTCTGCTACTGTGAGACTGTTCCAATAGCTGTCCTGCCCAGAAGGTGGTATTTCACAATCCTTCACCCTACCATCCAGCTCAAGCATTCCTTCTCTCCACATTGGTACACTGTTCCCTGAGCCTTACGGAGGGTGGAGAGGGAGATAAATGTCCTATTTAGAACTGAGTGCTTCCCTGTTCTCAGCATTCTGAACAGCCATGAGTCTTTGCATTTGCCACTGTTCATGGAAAAATGTCTTCTTTAGTCAAAACTAACAATAGTATTTGTCAGTAGGCATAAACATTTTTTTAGAAAGCATAAGTTTGTACTTTTGATTTTCAAACATTTACGTAGCTCTTCATCCTACACTTACAAAGTCATTGTTTGATCCAAATATTGAGCTTGATTTTCACTACCATTAACAGCCATTTCTTAAGGACCAAGCTACTCCTCCAGTTTAGGTCGTAATCAGATTTTACCTTTTTAAATATTTATGTTACCTTAGTTGTGCTTGTGTGTGTGTGTCTGGGTGTGAGTGTGCACTTATGTGAAAGTAAGGGCCACTGCAGTGAAGAAGCAAGTCTCTGATCCCTTGGAGCTGGAGCTATATATATATGCAGCTGTAAGCTGTAAGTGTGTTATAGGCATTGGGGGCTGGATTTGGATCCTGAGCAGCACCTGTTTGTTTTTGTTTGTTTGTTTTTTAATTGCTGCAGCATAATATCATCTCCCGATAAAACAGTTGCCATGTACACACACCTAAAAATCACTAGCCAGCACCCTCCTTCAGTTAGAAAGTTCGGTTCCTATATATCGTCAAATGCATACAGAACTTGTCCAAGACTATTTTTCTGCCAATATGGAGGATAAAACAAGCTGTGAGACCCTGCACACTGGATTCAACTGCCCACCCCACCAGTTACTAGTTTTTCTTGTTTGCTTATTTACTTTCTGTGTAAGTGAGTAATCATATACAATATTATTTAAAAGGACAAAGTCTGAAGACCTAGCTAGCATATGTGCATCTCCCATCATTAAACAAAGAAATGATGTTTTCCTGACTGATTAGCCTTTCTAGAACATGATGAATGGCTGCTGGTGCCAACAAATCTCTTTCTCCCACCACCTTCATCTTAAAGTTATGATAGCAATGCTGTTTCCCATGGGATTCACCTTTTTAAACACATTTTTAAGTGTACGATACATGTTGTTGTTCTGAGAAAGTTGTGTTTATACTTTTCTTCAATTAAAACTTTTTATCTCCTTATTGGCAATTCTCTACTTCTATTCTTCATTATCTAGCAACCACTATTCCTTTTTATAATGTTTTTATTTATTTCAAATCATCATACATTTTACATAATGTATCTTGATTGTTCTCACCCACCACTACCCCTCTCCAGCTCCTCCTAGCGCCCTCATTCCATCTCCCAACTTCAAGGCCTCACTTCTTCCTTGTTACCAATGGCCCCAAGTCTAGTTAGTGGTTCCCAAGTGTGTATGAGTGGAGCCATCTACAGGGACATTGACTACCTATTAGCAGCTAAGTCCCAAAAGAAGAGTGACTTTTGCTCTCTCAGTAACCCTTAGCTACCAGTGGCTGCTATCACAAGGGTGGGGCCTCCGGGGCACCTCCTTGAATTTAAATTGGAATTTTGACTAACTTTATATTGTGCAGGTCTTATGCAAGTAACCACAGCTGCCGTACATTGATATGCACAACAGCCATATCCTCCTCATCCTCTAGGTTTTACATTCATTCTTGATGCTCCCAGAACCCTGGATAGGGGAGGTTAACATGGATGACTCATCCACCTCTGAGCTCTCACAGTTACTACACTTTATTCTCTGATGAATTTTGAGTCCCTTCATTAACTGTTACCCACTAAAAAGAATAAACTTCCCTAACCAAAGTTGAGTACAATAAATCTATCTATGGGTGTAAACAAATACTCTAGAAGGCAATTTGATAGCATAACTATTTAACATAATAACAACAAAAGTTTCCCCACTAGGACCTGTGATTTTCCAAGTCATGAGATTTTGACCAGATTTATAGTAGCAGGCATGAAATCTCTTCTGTGGACCACATCTCATATCAAATCAGGAAGTGTTTAGCTGTTCCTGTAACATTCATATCTTTATTGCAACACTGGGCATGCCTTGTGGGGCAGGAACTATGGATGTCTTTTCTCCCCCTGCAGCTTGCATAGAACCTTTTAGCCCTATAAAAGCTAGCTAGTGAGAGAACGTGGTGTTCCTCATTTGTAAGAGAAATCATACACATTTTTCTCTCTGTATCTATGACTTATTTTGCATAGTGTAATACATGTGTTCAAGTTGATAAATATGACACTTCTTTCCTGTTTAAAATGTAATTGTGTATACTGCGTGTATAAACATTTTCTTTGTCCATTCGTCTGTCATAAATGTCACAGTGTTTCCCCATACTGCTCACTATAAAAAGTGCTACAAACAATATTCAAATCAGTGTGACAATTCCTCAAACATAAAGCTACCATTGCTTCACCAATCCAATTTCCAGACATTTCTACAAAAGAATTAAATCAGGAGTCCTCAATTAAATCTTCATTTTAATATATTTTGTTAGCTTCTTCTCCAATACTACCTTAAATCACTAATTCTAAAGTGCATTTTCTGTCTCTTCTTCTAATACCTGAACTGCAGAAGACTCTCTCTAACTTTCTATAAATTGTCCTGGTTCCTGAGAAGTCCCTAGCAATTGTACCTGAATATTTTCTGAAATTTTTCAAGGAGACAGGTGTGGAAGTTTATTTGATTTTGAAATGTTGAGAAATTCTTGAACTCTCTTCACATACCAATCATCCCTTACCTCTCCTTTGACCTGTCCTTCAAAGGTGAGCTCTTTCTTAGGACGGTTGGTATAAGGGCAGTTTCTGTCTGCCTATGCCCATCCTCTTTACATCAGCATGGTATGCAGACTTGTGCTTTCCTAGACCGGCAGCTTCAGTTCACATAGTTCTCCCCCTTCTGGAAGTCTTCCGACCAAGATGTCTGGGGCTCTAATTACCATCCGGTCATGTTTCTTTCAAAACTGTGAAAAGTCATTAGTTTATTTAGGAAAACTTAGTCATTCCTTCCTCTCTGAATAACGTTTAGCTCTCTGGTTTCCACATTTTATGAGATGTTTATAACTACTATGCCTCTTTTGTTCTTGTGTGTGTGTGTGTGTATGTGTGTGTGTGTGTGTGTGTGTGTGTGCGTGCGTGCGTGTGTGTTCCCTCCCTTGAAAATTTTTCCACCTACTTATTTATATTAAGATTGTGTATCTCAGTTTACAGAATTGTTTGCCTGAAGATGTCACCATCTCTGCATAGTGTTCACAATAGAGCAGGGCATGTGCTTCTGACCAGTTGTTACTATTACCTAGATATTTTTCAAAGCTGGAGTTAGTAAATTGTTTCTCTGCTTCCAGGATTCTTCCTCTTGGATTTCTTTCTTTCTTCCTTCCTTACTTTCTTTCTTTCTTTCTTTCTTTCTTCTTTCTTTCTTTTAATGTTATGCTCACTCATTTATCTTCAAAGAGTATTTAACAATATCTGTCATAGATTCACTATTGTCCAAATCCTCTGATCTTCACAGATCTTGCCACGAGAGTGATTCTCCCAACTTCACACAGTGATCTTCATTAATTCTGAGTGAGGTACATGTGAGAAATCTGTGTTGAAAGGGCCTCTCTCGGGAGCATTTCCAAATAGCACCATGTGAGAACAGGAAGAAGGATAAACTGTTGGCCATTTTTGTGAAATCAAATCTGATTTATCCTCCTTTTATTTGTTATGTGTGCCAAATGAGTGAGAATTCAAAGGTACATTTCTGTGTAATAATTCTTAACATTTTTGTGTCACTGGAGATGGGTTGATCGAATGTCCATAGCTAGTTCCCTTACTTGATTTCTCTGACAGTCAAATCAGGGCCTAAGACCTGTGGTATCTCAAATTTGAGGCATGAGTATAATAGAGATAAACAATTTTAGTTGTATTACTATTGGAGAACCCGTGGTTTTACCATACTGCACAATCTTTGTACCTGGTGGTGTTTTCCATACTAGCTGTTTCTTGGGGCTTGCAAACTGGTTCAAGTCTTCTTTAACTTCCTGGGTATGTAATAAAGTAAGGGACAGAATGGCATATGCTTTCTCAGTACTATGGATGAGTTTTTAAATATTCCTGATGGACAGTGAAGTAGACTTCTCAGCAAGCCTGTTAGCACTATAATGATGAACACTAACTCCTGGTCTCAGGTTTCCAAATGCTTTGTGTTAGACTTGGTGAAAGTCAAATGTCAGGCAGCAGCAAGTGCATTTTATCACATCCTTAATCTTCTTCGCTCTGCTCACTCCAGGGCTGCATATGATTGCTCTATGGCCAAGAAGAGAAGAGCTGACGAGCAGGCACTGGGAGTGCCAGTTAACAAGAGGAAATCTCTGTTAATGAAACCCCGGCACTACAGCCCAGACATGGACTGCAAGGGAGCCCCAGACACCAGGAATGAGGATGATGGCCTCTTAGAAACGAATGAGCACTCCACTGCAGGTAGCAAAAAGGCATGGCCCAAACTTTATATATTCCTGCTACCAAAAGTTTCCTAGTCTGCGGAGAGTATACAATGGCTGTGGTATTTGGCTTTGGAAACAAAAAAACAAACACTGTTTCACTAAATATTCACTTATTAAGGCCCTATTTAATTAGATTCTATTTAGGGTCTACAGGCACAGCTTGACTGTGACCTGTGCTCACTTCATGTCATGGTTAGGTTATGCCGCTTTGTATAGAAAGTAGAAGACACTAAGCCTTAAAGCTAGAGTCTCTCTGAGTAGATGGATAATTTCTAAAAGAATCCTTCAAATTACAGGACATACTTAAGCTTTAAGATAACTTTTCAATGATAAAAGTCAATGTAATGATCATTAATGATATATATTTATGCATATACATATACACACATATTTGTTGTCTCTGTTTATAGCTAAAACATTAATACATAACTTGTTTTATCTATATGCATATATATAATATTGTTTAGCCCCCAAAATATAATAGTAATAACATGACTCAAAGTAGGTATTTTGTGACATTAATATTTTTAAATGCTTCAAATCATACTTAGAGCAATAGATTGTTGAAGTGACCAAGGTTGTTTTCCTTGAGGCTTCTTTAGTGGGAGAAGAATATAGAAAAGACACATCTGTGCCTATACTTCTAAAATAAGTCTTTTAAGCTTATCTTTATAATACATTGAGTCAATCCTTTGCTTACTCTTCAGACATCCTTTTCAGGGTGAGTGAAATGTAGCAACTCCTTTAAGGACTTAAAGTTGTTGTCTTCCCAGTTCTCAGTTGCTGGCCATCACTTCCATTCAAGAGTTGAAGTGTCATTCATTGGTTCGTACATGAGATTAAGGTGTCAGACATGGAAAAATCTCAATAACCTATGAAAAATTTAAGATATAAGCCTTGACTAATAAAGACTGGAATAAGAGATACACATATTCTATTAAATATATACCCTTTACTGAATGTGACATTTAGGTAATCAACATAAAATAATAATAAGTAAAATATTTATTTTAAAACTTAAATAGAAGTTAGTAGTACTTATAGATCACATGTTTATAAGTAGAATTCTAGAAATATCCCCTGGATATTATTTTTTAAAGATATAAAAACATTGACAGAGGACAAGTTTAAAGTCAGAGAAACTTCATTATCTTGGTTAAGTATTAAAGATTCCATGGTTAAACAATGGTGTCTTCTGATTTGTAAATAGATAGTGACATTTTTAGGCTTCTCTCATTTAGTATATGGTTTTAAGCATCAGAGCTCATATTTAAATTATTATCATCTTTAACCTTTTCAACTTCCTCTATCTTGCCACTTTTATATGTTGATCACAGACATGACTGATAGAGCCTGATCTTAGCGGAAGTTTGTAGAACACTGTGGAGTTAAGGTTGATTAATACAGCTTGTCTATGAGCCAGAGATTTTGTCAGGTCTGCAGACCTCCTACCTTCTGCTCTGACAATTTGATCATTACACATGCTTATAATCAGTTAAGTGAATATTACTCAAGTATATACAGTCATAAGCATTTATAGACACCTATTTGCAGATTTACAAAGGCTAATGATTGCATTTAATATTAGAACTGCTACTGATAGAGATGCTGAAATTACCATGATGACAATTTTTAGCTCTTTATATATTTCAGATATATAAATGATACCATTTAGTCCATTTTACAGTGTCACATAGTATGTTGTAACCTGGTCTTAGTTTTGTAGACGAAATCATTAAAGACCAAAGAGAGTTAATTCTGAAAGTAGCACAGATTGCAGCCTATGGAGAAAGTACCTGGTAGGCCATCTAAAAACAAGTCGAATAGCTCTATCCCAATTAACTGTGCTCTGCAGACTCAGTCCCCCTTGCCCATATTCTCCTCAGAATGCATACTGGGCAGAGTCTTCATGTCTACATGAAGTTGCAGTTTATAAAAATAATGGGACATCAGTGTTCCTGCCCTAGGTCAGCAGAGAGAAGATTTTAATGTAAGGTGTTGAGGAATTTTAAGCACAGCCACAGAAGGAGAGGGGGCCAAGGTCAGTGTTTACTCCAACACTAGTGTACCGTAGGTCAGTGCTCCTTCGTTCAAGGTACCTTATTGCCTTTTCCTTAACAGGAGTGTGCCTACTTGCATCTTCAGCTGCACCTCAGATAATCAGAGTATAAAGTACTCATGAAAGCTAAGGTCATGCTCTTGAATCCTGTGCTTCATTCCTCTTTATGGCCCAAACTGCACCCCACATTCTAGCCTGATCCAAAAAACTACATGTGGGCCCTATGGTGGGTAGTTAGAAATCCCTCCCTCCCTGGGGAGGTTAACACAAGGAAGCAACACAAGCTCAGACTCCAGGAACAGACAGAAAACGAGAGTTGTCATGGGTTCAATATGTACCCATTGTAGAGTTGCCAGAAGAATGGCCACATGCTTGGGACTTGGGATTGCCTTCCAGAAACACAAAAGTTTCTAGGGGCTGAAATTATTCTTTTAATATGTCACCTTCAATTAAAAAAGACAAAGAACAAACCACTCCAATCTCAGAATTTTAGAAAATAAATTCATTTTTCTATGGCTTTTATTCCTGCCAAAAGTTCATATTCAAATGAATTTGCCTGTAAAAGTGTCCTTACTGGTTATAGAAGTACACTAAGGAGTTCATTCCAAAATCAGTGGCATTGTCAGAGAAGTTCAGAGAAAAGATAGAGGGATACAAACATATGTAGATGATAGATAGATATGAAACATATACAGAGATGATAAATACATATAAATAGATATAGATAGCTAGAGAGTGATAGAGGATGTTGATAGTTGCCATATATATATGTATATATATATGTATGTAAATGATAGGTGAGGATAGAAGATTGATAGATGTAGATAACAGGCAGATAGACAGATATAGATAAATGGGTATAGATTATGAGGATAGATAGATGCATATAGATCAGAATAGATGATAGATAGATCAGTGATGATAAAGAGATAGGTAGGTAGGTAGGTAGATAGATAGATAGATAGATAGATAGATAGATAGATAGGTAGATAGAGGATGTAATGTAAACATTCACTATGTATAGGACTACCAACCACTTATCATGGAAAACTTGGTTTACAGTCAGGAAATAAAGAAATAAATGAGCTTATATGTACCAGACAGAACCTTATATTTTGTTTTTCAATCTACATAGGAAAGTTTCCCAGCCCAAGCTCCTGCCCACTGCACATGATTGGAAATTCACACAGGACAGAGAAGGGGGAAGGCTGTTTCTGAAACTGCCAGCCTGTTCCCTCCTGGAAGTTAACCCTAGGATTCCCAATTTGCCATCTTTGTGGCATTAGTGAAGTTAAGGTCTGGGTTGTGTGAGCATTTTGTGTTGTTTGTATTTGTATATTTTGATCAATAACATAAGGACCATTTTTTCCAGCCCAGGTTAACTGGAAATACATTCGAGTACATTTACTACTATAAATTTACTATGAAAAATATTTCAATTTAGAAAAGTATTTCACTGTTAATATTCTTGTGACTTCTAAGAATGGTAGTGTTACATCTTTTCTGATAAGGCTTTCTAGGCTGTCGGATGCTTGCCATATGTAACAGAATCAAGCCATGTTGCCCTTCGTCTGGACTCATCCCTCTACTGACAAGCTGTGTGACCTTGAGCAAGCCCTGGGAGACTTGAAACTCCACTTTGAGAGATGGACTAAAAGCTCTTCGTAGTATTGTGAAATAGAGAGTTGAGTACTGTGCTAGGCATGTATCAGACATTGTCTTAGGAAGAGTACCTAGATCATCTAGTCATGGGCCCATCCTCGTTCTGCAGATGAAAACCCAGGCTCCAGAGAGCAAGAGGAATGACTTCTACTCATGAAAAGTGGGCCAAATCTTGTTTATACTGAGGAGACCGCCAGTCCCCTGACTTACAGTCTTTGAAAATAGCACCTGAGGAGGTGGGGGAGGGAGCCATCACTTGCTGGGTGCCTGTTGTGTGATCCCGTGACCTCTGCAGTGATGCACAGGCCTTGCTGCTGTCGCCAAGGTGCAAATGGAAACCCCAGGCTCAGACAGCTTGAACAACCTGTCCAGCAAGCCTAGAGGCTAACAACGCTCAATCCCCACCCCCCTGCAGCAGACCTTCCTACTCCGGGAAAATGATACTGCAGAGCAGAGAAAGGAGGGGACCAGTGGCAGAGCTGGAGAACTGGCACCTTGTCACAGATCAGTCATGTCACATGCTAACTTTGGTTTTTCTCATACCCACAGTGAAATCCGGGAAGGCTTTGCAGAACAAGGAATGTTGATTTGTGGCTTAGACTATCCCTAGAAACCAATGTGTATGACAGTGTGGGCACCCTGGCTCGGGGCTTCTCTCTTTCTGAAGAATAATTAATAAATATTTTCTTTTAGCATATAACAAACAGTTGAAGTAAACAATGATGTAAACTGGAAATGACCCAAAAAGCAAGCAGTTGGCAGTCACTCAGTGAAGGGCATTGTCGTGCACATGTGCGAGTTTGTCACTCCGCCTCTCTGGTGATCTGCACTTAATAGGAATATTTTAAACTATGTAGCTAAGCAACAGAGGTAATTGTTGCTTTCTAGAGCTTTTGTTAGCACTCTCACACAGCCCAAATATGCATAATTAGGTATAATGTCTATAAATCATTATTGTACACATGTGGGTAGTTAAGTGGAGTGAGAGAATAGTTCAATGAATTGAGCATATTCCCTGAAAATGCTTTTTATTTGTTTTCTGTAGTTCATAATACTTTAAAATTATCATAACCCTTTACACTTTCTCTTAATAGCCAACTGTGATATTGAGAAGAATTTCATTTGCATTTTAGACTATGTTTAATATATTATTTAAAGCTGGATTTGCTCTGATGCAGATTCAGGAAAGGCTAGGCCCATCCTATCAACGTTATGTGCTTGTTTATCCAGCCTCTTTTCTAGGAACTGAAATGTTAAATTTTTCAGTTTGTGTTGAATAGATCCCAACAAAAGACTGCACCCTATAATCAGCATTATTTACAGGGGCTAGTGTTGTGACTGAATTCTTCTCTGCATCCAAAAATGCTTTTAGTTACTATGGCAATATTTACTTGATCCTGGCAGTCCAGTGTTGATTTAGGGAGATAATTACCAGAAAGGAAGATGATGGAGATGTATTTTTGAGTGTCCTTGTCAGAGACAATGTTTATAAAAAATTGAATGAGACACAAAAATGCACATTGTCTTCCAGGCAGACACCCTCTCCCACAGCTTCACACTGATGGCTGCGCTTGCCTCCAAAGATGTTTATTAACACAGAATGCTCTTCACTTGGTGTCTTTAACAGTATTTAAGGGGGCTTATCATTTTATGTTTCCCCTCCCCCACCTGTCTTTGAAATGTAGAAACGGTAGAGTTTTTTTTTTTTTTTTTTTTTTTTTTTGGTTTGGTTTTTTGTTTGTTTGATTTTGTTGTTGTTGTTGTTCTGGTGGATGTTAAAGGATTCTTGGTGGACAGTTTGGTACATTTCCCAGCCTGGTGTGCACTGAGAATCCATATGCTCATTTGGACAGTTTGCATTGGGGCAGTTTGGTGAAATGACTATACATACATTCATTCATACATACATACACACACACACACACACACACAATACATACAAACAATACATACATGCATGCATGAATGCTTACATTCATATTTACATACAACAGGAAAGGAAAGAAAAGGTACTGAGGGCTGCTTTGAACTGACCTGGGCATTTGGAGATCTGCTCTTGGTCACAGGATCCAAGTTGCTCATATCTGACACGGTCAAATAACTCTCCTTCATCTCCTTTACTTTATAACAAAAATAAATGCACACGTCAGACAAGAAAATGCATTATCATTCAAAATATCTAAGCCCAATGCTTATCCCGCTTACGTTTCCCTTAATATAGGATTGTAATGTGACACGGAAAATGAGCAGAAAGACTTGAGAGCTTCATAGTCCCTCTGTCACCATCTGTGGGTGGAGGTGTTTGTATCTTAGTTAACATTGCATAAAAGCTGAGAATGTTCCTGAGAAACTACAGAGAATAGAATTCAAATAAGCCCTAAAAATACATTGCCATGATCCAGAGAAATGCAATGAACATTTTTCTGCAGTGTGTAGCATGCATATTCAAGTTCCTCTGGGCTGCTAAGATGTCGGAACATAAAAGGGGGTAACAACAGGAACCTCCTGTACAGTGCTGTGTTGCCAAAGTGCCGACTTCTGTCATGACAGTACCCTGAAAGGGCTTCACTCTTCAGATGCAGAAGATTACAGAAACACTAAGCTTGATGTATTTCACCTGTATTTTTTCTCATCAGTGTTTGCAAAATTGATAGGCATTACACATCATGCATATTTTGTAGGCATACCAGTATCCATGTACATATATATACAGATTTATGCATATACACATGTATATGAATAGTTATGGAAGCTCCTTAAAATATTTTTGCTTGTTTAGTTAGTTGCCATTTAGAGGTGGGATCTCACTTGTGGTCCAGACTAGTCTTGAACTTGCTAGCTTCTTACCTGATTCCTAAGTATTAGTATTAGGATTACGGGCTCCTGCCATTATGCCCAGGCCCTTTAAATATTTTTGTTTTGTTTTGTTTTCCAACATCTGCTTTCTTTTTTGTAGAGGGAATCATGATGAAGCCCATGGATGAGACCCTTCATTCACCTGCACAAGAAAGCTCACTCCGAAAGGAAGACCAGTTCGTGTGTTACCCAGAGCTCATGGTCAAGTCTCTAACACACTTGGGAAAATTTGAAGAAACTGTGTCTATGCAGACCATAGGTGAGCCCTTAAATGACAGTGGTACCCAGTCTCTAAAAGCAGAGAGCGATGAGGCAGATGAGTGCTTTATGATCCATTCAGATGACGGAAGAGACAAAGTCCACAGTGCCCAGCCACCTTTCTGTCCCTCTGGTGACAGTGGAAGTGACTCTGACAGCGCCGAGAATGGGTGGGGCAGCGGCTCCAGTTCATCAGAAGACACGGACCACAGAGGCCACAGACACAAGCTGACATACAATAAATCGGACCTGTTGGAGGTTTCTGAGATAAAAGCTGAGGGGGTCGGATTTACCCCCTGTGAGAGTAGGTGTGACTCCGACACTGATGGGAGAGACCCACAGAACTCCCGCGTGGAACCCGTAGCGGTCAAAGCCCAGCCTTCATTCCCAGAGGCTGAAGATGGTGAGAGCCTGGTCACAGTAACAGAGGAGCCTGGAGAAATGGAGAAAGTGAAGGGGAACCTGAGTTTGCTGGAACAGGCCATTGCCCTACAGGCAGAACGAGGTTCTGTCTTCCATCACACCTACAAGGAGCTGGACCGCTTTCTTCTGGACCACCTGGCAAGAGAACGGAGGCAAACCAAGGTTACTGACAGTGGTGGAAGAGAAGTCTTTAACAATAAACGTAAGTACATTTTTATATTCATTGCAGGAAGAAAATCGATTTAGGGTTTGAAAATGTTAAATGGTCCTATTCCTTCTAAATTGGCTTTTTGACAACTTAATGTAATTTAAAAGTCAATTGATAATCGTGAAATATGCCATTTGTTACTTTGCAACTGCTCTTTAGTTGCAGTCAGCTCAGGGTCTATTGGTGCTATGGTATTTAACACCTGAAGCCTTTTATCCCTTCTGATGTTCTCATTGAATTGGCTCTTCAGAATCATGCCATACCTTTTAACAGTGATTTTCTGGACATGTTTAGAGACTTTAACGTATTTTATTAGATTAAATCAAGCCTAGAATTTAATTTTTCTTTCTAGCCCTTGTTCTGGGGTTATGGGACTACTTTCCTGTCACTCGTAAGCCAGGCAGGTTGTTCTGAGCCTTCTTGTCATTACACCAGATGTTAATATATTTGTTAAGATGGTGCTTTCCCAGCGCACCAGTGGGAGCCCATAGGTACCTGGATCAGACTTAAATTGCAGAGGAAATATGCTTGGAGGAGACGGCAATTGCTCTTCCAGTGCCAGGGGAATGATACCTCTTCCCTTGTGGAGGACTGTGCCTGTTCTCATGCATGTCTCTTCTCAGTGAGTGGCTTTTCCCAGTCATCCACAGGTGCCCAGAGAAGCCCTTAACATGGGTTTGTCCAGGGTGCCGTCAGATTCAGACCTCCAAAGTTTGTTTTTGTTTTCGCAAAGTTTTCTGGAGTCCTGGAATCTTATAATCACAGAATCAGGGAAAGACATGAGGTAACACTGTGGTCATTGACCTTGCGGGCTTAGAGGAATGACATCTGTGTGCTCAGAAGTTCTGACTGGGGGAAGGGTTCCAGAAGTGGATTATTTTGTAATTTTAAGTGCCTACTGATACTTAGCTGCCACTTAATAAATCATGCCTTGCAACTCTGAGAAACTAGAAAGACTATAGTTAGGAGGCTGCTGCTGCTGTACAAACACACTGGGCGTGTGTCAGTAGGAACAGGATGTTAATAAGGAATGTGTAGTTGGAGACAGAACATTATTTAAGGCTCTGTACTTCGATCAGTATGCAATTTCTTAATTTTTCCTTATTTGCCTTTTTTTAAGAAAAATCTGAATAAAAGGAATACAATTCACTCTAAGTCATATTTTGTTGGTTTGAAGGTCTATATTTCCCTCCCTAATAGCCCTGAAATCAGAAGAGCATACAACAATTAACATTCATTTTTTTTCTTTTTAATTCGCATTCAAAATAATGTTTCAGTTAACAATTGGTGATGTTTTACAGGGCGTGAAATCCCGTGTTTGCAGAAACTTTATTTTAACCTTTATGTTCAAATGCTTGATGATCTTTTGGTTATTATATGATGTTTTAAAACCATCTTATATTTTCAAAGTTAGTAACACAATAGGGTGTGTATAGCAACCTTTGCTAGTTTAGTGGCTTTAGGGCACTACTGGGGAGACTAAAAGAATTAACAGGGTGTCCCCTGCTGGCATTGCTTTAGGGTTCAAACCCCCTGAAAGGTGACCAGGCTCAGCTGAGACAGGTGTGGAAGGCGGGGTGCATGTTGCTGTGTGTGCACTGGTATTAATATCTGCAGAGCGTGTGCTCTGAATTCACACGCCCACTCCTCGATGATGCTAGAATCAGGAGTCTGGAAACATTCTCCTTTTACTCACATTCGGTATTGTAAGTGATCATGCAAGCCATCATCTTCCTTCTTCCTTAAAATACTACTCTGATTTGGGGAATACCTTGGCCATGGACTCGCCTGTTAAGGACAGAGCACTAGGATTTCAGCATGCTATCCTACCTGAGTCTGCAGAGGAGCCAGCAGTGCTACAGCAAGTTTGTAAACCCTGCCACGGAATATTTGGAGATGAGACTGCAGTGTGGGCACTATGCTACCTATCGTGTGTCACTTGTCAAGTAAGAGGAGCAAGAGGAACAATGGGCCAGTCTGCCTGCTATGAAGGAGGATGGTCCCAGGCAAACCAGGACCCAGGGGCACCGGAGGATGAAGTCCCCTCATTGTGTAGTGCTACACAAAGCAAATGAAAGAAGAGGCAGACTGAGCAGCTGCCCTGAGCCTGTGCTCGGGTTTCTTATCGTGCAAACAGGTTCTGCCCTCCAGAGCATTTCATCTGCAGCTTTGTTTTGGGAGGCCCAGGAGAGAGCTGCAGACAAAGGTGCATAGTGGACTGACTGTCAGTGGGCCCTAGCTGGGCAGGTGCCAGGCCCGTTATCTCCAACACCCTTTCTGGCTTCCCTCAGACACCCAGTGTGCCGAAGAGGGGAAGTGCTCACCGCCAGCCCCGTCAGTGCTTAGAAATGTGGTATCATGTGGACAAGATCCAAGAGAGGAAGCACATCAAAATAGACACTGTAGCTTTTCTCCTTTCTGTGAGTGGCGCTCTGCAATGGTGTCAGCCCCCTCAGTTAATGCTTATCAAACTTCAAAGACTTTGACCAGTTGCCTACAGGTTTTACATACCCAAATGGACTTGAAACTTGGCATTGTATTGCTGCTAAGTAAAACTTGCGTGCACAAAGTCATAGAACACCACCATGTTAATACTTGTTTCCCTTCAAGAGTACAGAAAGGAGCAAGCCCCCCGCCCCCGCCCCCCACACACCCACACACTCACACACGCACACTTCAGTCATTTTAGTTCATTCTTTCCTTTAGTTAATAATGCTGTCTCCTGGGCATCCCTGTCCTTGGTGGTTCCCTGTGTATTCGCAGCACTCAGCTTTCAGCCTCCTGACTTGTCTGGGACTATCAGTGCTGGCTACAACTTGGAGGATCCTCAGCCCCTCCTTCGGAAACCGTGCCCCCATGTAATTGGATTACACACAGCCTGCTGTGCCCCATCTGCCTAGGACCGCTTATACTCTAACAACTGGAGTGACGAGGTATCACGGAGACATGTCTGTTCATGCAATGTAGTGCCATGAAGATATCTGACACATCCCTGTCAGCGGCCTGAGCTGGGTGGCTTCTTTAGAACAGGAGGTGTAGACTTCCCATCCCCATAGAATAGGGCCCTTCTCCTTGCCCCAGGCCAGCGGCTTTATGAGCAGGGTCCTGTAGGTTACTTATTGCCACCACGGGCCTCAAGCCTGCTCAGTATTCTTGTTGCCCACACTGAGACTTGCACATCCCTTCTGAAGGTTGTTTTGCTTCTTTCTCTGAGGACTCACATACTCCTAGTTTTCCAACCACCGCAAACACACACACACACACACACACACACACACATACATCAGTATCCTGAGCACAAGTTGGGGCAGTTTGTACCATAAGACTGAATTTCTATCAAATGTAGTTACCATCTTGGCCATATGTGTATGGATGTCTATGCATTTTGTGTGTTATATGAATGTACATGTGTGCATGCATGTATATGTGTATGTGTGTACATGGATGTGAATGCGTATGAACATGTGCATATGTCTGTGTACATGCATGCACATGTGTGTTTGCACAGGTGCATTGTGTACATGTGTTCATGTGTGTATGTGCACCTGTGCAAGTGTAAGCATATATCTGTGAGTGCACTGACACTCACCCACACTCCTGTTCTGCACTCATTCATCTTATGCGTTTATCCACCTCTCTCACCCACACCCTGACTCATGGGATTGTCTCCATCCATCCCATCTCGGGCTCCTGTCCTGTAGCAGCTGTCACTCCTGGGAGCCTCGCCATCCAAGATCCCAAGTCCTCTGATAGCTGGGAAGTCCCAGGCACTATACTTCCCTGTCCTTGATGCCCCACTAGAACATTCCCCTCCAAAGGCTTCTCCATAATCTCAGTTGTGAATTTCTGCAGCAGTGACCACTGCTTCCCTCTGTGGTCACCTCACATACCTGAGAGATAGTCCCCAGGGGACCCAAAATCTTGGCTTTTGGATTTTGTTTCCACTTTGTTGTATAGGACTCAGCCTATTGACTATTGACTCCCATCAGCTGCTCTGCAGGAAGCAAGCTCAACTTGTACATGAATAGCTGGTCCACCCCCAACTTCACCTGCTGCCAGGGACCCACAAGGACAAAGCCAGAGAGGCCTATGTGGTGGGCCCTTTGTTTTATAATTTTAAACCTGCCTTTTTCTAAACTCTCTCAATAGAGGATGGCTTGAGGTTAAAGAAATTCTCCTTTCTCGCTTTTCTTCTTTCTTTTCTTCCTTTCAGGAGCACATTCACCTTCTGGCACACGGGGACTTTGCATAATAAAGACTTAGCTACAATATGTGATATGACAACTTAAAATCATCTCTGTGTTTTAACAGTCCCTTGCCCTGTGTCAGCCTTTGCTTAGGAATCCAAGAAAATTGAAAATGTGTTTTGCTTCCACGGGTCTTAGTTGAGGGTTTTATTCAAGGCAACGTAAGAAGAATGTTTATGATGGTAAAAGTGAATAGAGTGCTGGTGACACCCGCAAGGCCACTCTATTGAATGTCGAGGAGGAAGCACCATGTGAGTGTGTCTCCATTCAATTTCTCCATAGATTCACCAAGGCCTGAGAGGAGGGAGGCCAAGTGCCCCATCCCTGGCTGTGACGGCACGGGGCACGTAACCGGGCTCTATCCCCACCACCGCAGCCTCTCCGGGTGCCCCCACAAAGTGCGAGTTCCTCTGGAAAGTGAGTATTCCTTATCCGGAGGTCACACCTGTGCTGTCACTCATGCAGTGCAGCCTCACACAGCTGTCCTCTGTTCCTTCTGGTCAGAATTAGGAAGAGGAACATAATCTTATCTCCATGTGTCTTTAAACAATTCCCATCTAACTACGTGAGGTGTCTGTTGTTTGTTTGTTTCATTCTGATACTGAAACAAGGTCTGGCTTATGTAGCCCTGGTCTGCTTTTCCTCTACCATGCCCAGTCTAGTTACTGTTTTAAAACCTAGTATATTAGAAATATTCAAGAATAGTAATTTCAGATGTAGAGACCTGCTGACCTGCCCTCACCATGAGATCACATGCTCCTTAGCATCTTCTCCGGGTGCCCTGTCACATCTGAGCCCCTAGAGCAACAGCAGCCTCTTCCTCCCTCATCCCTACCATAGTTCTCAAGTGCTCCAGGCTGTAGAAGTGAAGAGGACTAGCTGAAAACACCAGTGTTACATAATTTCTCATCTTATTATCGGGACAGTTCTGGGTTACCCCATGGGTAAAAGTGGGAACACCTTAACATCCCCCAGCTGTCGGGATTTAGCAAGTTACTATTTTTTCTCACCCCGCGAGCTACAGCATTAGCAGATCCTTGGTCCACACCTCATTCAGCCTTACTCTTACCAGTAGTCACCGGATGGGGGAGGGTGGATGGACAGATGCAAATAGCACACTTAAGAAATAAAGAAGCCTGCCTGCAGACCTCCAGGTTATGGGGAAAGGATTGAAAGAGCCGTGGGGGGAAACAAGTTCTCTGATCCCCGAGAGAGAAATGTACTTAGAAGGAAAGGTGGGCATGGTGAGCCTGTCAGGTCAGATTAGAGAGACACTAGCCTCTGTCCCGGCACATGTGTGTGGCCCCAGAGTTACACGGAACAGTTCCTCAATTGAAAGCAGGACCATTTGTGGGAGGGGATCTAGGGTTAATGCTCTTTGGCAGTCAGAGCAGTTTGGGTCTGAACTAATTTCCTAGGTTTCCTTTCTGAAGTTATAAAGGGCCTTTGTTCCATATGAATACATCCCAGGAAGAACCATGGTGGACTGCCTATCTGAAATCATTTGAATGTAAAACGGAGAAGCAAATTTGATGGCGTCTTAGGTTTGTATGTATATATGCTAAATTGTTCTTCCCTTTAACATGATATTTTGTGCTTAGTTCTTGCCATGCACGAGAATGTGCTCAAGTGTCCCACCCCAGGATGCACAGGAAGGGGGCATGTGAACAGCAACCGCAACACTCACAGAAGGTAATTCTGATGACTTCTTAATAATTTACATTGCACAATGCAAAAGAAACTTTCCACAAATTAAATCATAGGCCACCTGTTGAGATAATTGGTACATCACTATTAAATGTTACTTCTTGAAATAGCTCACACATAGTCTCAATCTCAGGAAAATTTATATACTTCAGATACAACTAAAATTATGAAACAGTTGTATCAGACTATGCTCAGGCTCAGACTCTATACAGCCTCAAACATGGCACATTCTTTCTGCCTGGATCTCACCAGCACATCTGGACTGGCATCAGTATTCCTTATAGGTTATCATGAATCCCACTAGGCAGATATTTAGAAGGGTTTCACTATATAATACAGAGCTTTGAGTGTAAACCATGTAAGGAGAAATGTCCATTTTTATTATAGTTTAAACTAAAATAAAGCACATTGTGTATAGTAATATGAAAATAAATATATGGTATATACATATGTATGTCTTAAGTGAAATTTTATTTTATTTTTACTATGTATTTTAATGTGTATATATATTTTGCCTGCATGTATATTGCTGTGCCACATGTGTGAAGATGGTGTGTTCTCTCCTAGAACTGGAGTTACAGTTTGTTACGAATTGCCGTATACTTGCTGGGAATCAAACCCAGGTCCTCTGGGAAAGTAGTCAGTGTTCCTAACCACATAGTCATCTTTCCAGTCCTGAATCATTTTATTTCTATGTGCATATTTTATATTACACGTGGAGCTATGAGCTATGGTTTGGCTTATAAGAACATTATCAAAAGATTTCATTTTTGTACTTTCGATTTGACTAAAATATCTCTAAAATTTTGCTAAAGTTCCTAAGATAGTCATGGAAGTATCATGCTGGCTTCTATAGTCAGACAATGGTGTGTGGGAATGAGCACATTGGACCTAAAATACTGAGTTTCAGAACCCTTTGGTATTTCCCCATTACATAACATTTTGATTTTTTTCTAAAGGTATTCACTACTTGTCACCTCTGAGATGGAGCTAGAAGTTTGCAAAACCTTTGGGATCTTTTGTATGACAATGGTGCTAAGTGAACTATTAATATGACTTAACATTTGCTGTGTGCCAAGGGTGTCGTGTGCCTGTGCCAAGGCAGACCACACTGTCACACTCACTCACATCCTCCAGCTCTTCTCTTTTGAAACAGTCTTTCAGGTTGTCCAATTGCTGCAGCTGAAAAGTTGGCAATGACCCAGGACAAAAGTCAACTTGATTCTTCCCAGACTGGGCACTGTCCTGAGAAGGCTCACAGGTATGAACTGTCAGGACTTGGCTGATAGCCTCTGTTTATATTGGATCCCACCCAGCAGAGCCTCGATTCTGTGTGTGTCACTTCACTGAGGTCTACATGTCATGCTCAGTCATCACTAGATTGATGACGGCAGCCAGTTTGTAAGGCTCGGGAATGATCGCATCATTCAAATGATCTAGGGGATGTTTCAGGAGTTGAGCTTAACAAGGCTAGCATAATATGGGTGAACCTAAAGGAATTAAATATGCAATCACATAACTAGTCAAACCTCTGTCACTAATATAATACCGGGTAGGCTCCCATGTGTGACTGACTTCTTTTCTGCCTGGAGGGAACTCCATTATGAACATTTCAAAGTGTGTGATTGTTTAAGTCCCATATGCACTGGGCTTCCATGATAGGTAGTTAGTACAAAAGTATCTCCCATAATCCTGAATGCCCAGGTTCCTCATAATATTAGTAGTTTCAAAGATATTTTACATAAAATTTAATGTTGATACTTAAGGTAATGAAATGTTTATTATGTAACAATCATGCATGTAATAATCTGAAGAGAAAGATACCAAATAGTTGTTGTCAATGAGTCACTAAAAATGAAGAACAAAACAAAACAAAAAACTAGTAGGCACTGTAGTATTCCAGGGTGTTTTATTTTGCTTTCTGTTCTTGTGATAAAATACCCTGACCAAAAGCAAAGTGGGGGAGAAATGGATTTGTCTGCTTTACACTTCCAGGCCACAAATCCATCATTGAGGGGAGTGAGAGCAAGAATTCAAGCTGGAGGCGCGGGCTAGCCTAGAGAACTAGTACAGTAGTTAAGAGCACTGAATACTCTTACAAAGGACTGCAATTCAGTTCCCAGAGCCCACAGGGCAGTGTACATCCACCCACAACTGCAGTTCCCAAAAATCCAACACACGCACACTCCATGGAGAAAAAAAAAATCCACACAAAATAAAAACTAAAAATATGAATTCAAGCAGGAACTGAAGAAGAAACCAAGGACCAGCACTGCCCACTGGCTTGCTTTCTGAGCTAGCTTTGCTACACCTCTCAGACCAACCAGTATAGGAATGGCTGCTGTCTGCAAAGGGCAAGGCCCTTACACCAACCGTCAGTCAAAGCAGTGTCTCACACAAGGCCCCAGGCCAGTGTGATCTGGATAGTCCCTTGAGTTGAGGGTCCCTCTTCCAAGTTGACATTAGGTTGTATCATGTTGACAATTTTAAGAAGCATACAGGTAGTGGGGGTTAGCACAAAGGATATGTCTTCTCTTGATTTTTTTCCTACAGATTCAATTAAAAGAATATTAAAAGAATCAAAACTAGCATTGAAGTCACATGAGTGAAAAATGTCAAATGAAGATCACAATCACTAAATATGTAGATTAAGAAATCTTAATACAGGGTTCTTCGTTAGTTTTGGAATGTTCTCTTGTTCTCCCTAATTATGCTTACAAAAAGCTGCAATTGAGTTTCTTGTTTACTCATTGCTTTAGAAACTAATGCATTTTAGATTAGAGTAATTTTACGATTCCAGGGTTATAAACCAACTTACAGTCACATCCACTCATCCATCAAGTATTTCTTTATTCAAAAACATTTTTCATACAATATATTTTGATCATATTATTTCCTTTTCCCCAGCTTCTCCCAGTTTCTCCTACCTCCCTTCCCACCATTCTTCATGTGGGCTCACTCACTGTGTCGCCACTCTAAAAAATAAATGAATAAACCACAAAAAGTTAAAATCAAAATGAAAAAAATCAGTAAGAAAAAATAACAAAACAAAATGTGTACATACCCCAGCACACAACATACACTATGGAGTCTGGTTTTTTTTTTATTATTTATTTACTTATTTATTTTATATAACTAAGTCCATTTAAATGAAAACAAACATTTATAGACAATATTTGGGAATTTGGGCGTCGTTCTTTCCAAACTACTTCCTGCTGGTAAGGGGCGCTGTCATGGGGGATTCGAAGAAGATGCAGAAATCCTGGCTGTAGTCTGTAAGGCTGCTTTGTCCAGCTGTTTTGAATGTGGGATCACTATGGAGTCTGTTTTATGTTAACCAGTTACTCTTGAGAATGGACCTGCTCTGGACTGTAATTGATACACCCAGTGACATTCCAGTGAAGAAAATGGATTTTTCCCTTTCCCAGCAAGAATTGGTTGCAAATAGCTTCTGCAGTGGGGATGGGATGTCTCTATGATGCAATTTTGTCTAGCTTGAACTTGTTCATATCCTATGCATGCTGCCACACTCTGTGAATTCATATATGATCATTCCTGTTGTGTCCGGAAGACAGTTTCCATAGTTATCAAACACCTCTGGCTCTTACAACACCTCTTTCACCTCTCCTCTCCTTCTGTGTAGAAACCTGAGCCTTGAGGGGGAAGGTTTGATGAAGACATCCCACTTAGTACTGTGTGCTCAAAAGTCTCTCTCTCACTCTCTCTCTCTCTCTCTGAACATAGACCAGATGTGGGTCTCTGTGTTAATTCCAATCTACTGCAAAAAGAAATTTCTCTAATGGGGGTTGAGCAATACTTTCACCTATGGGTATAGCAGTATATCATTAGAAATCATTTTAGAGCTGTGTTCTTTTAGCATAATAGTATTTTTAGATTTTCCTATAGGTACATGACCAATCTAGTATCAGTTTCTTGACCACTAGAGAAGAATATGTAACGGGTCCCATCTCTTGGAGTGGATCTTAAAACCAAAACGTAGTTGGTTGCTCCTATAACATTTGTGCCACTATTTACTGGTATCTTTCATATGGTCACTGATGTCAGTTGCAGGGCGATAGCTGAGTGATATTATTACTTTTGTCCTCTGACAATGTGCAGAATGCCTTGCACCGTGAATGCTGGTCAGTAAGGGATGAGGCTTCCAGTTAGGCACCAGCTGGATTTTTCAAAGATAGAAGTGTTGTATTTAACAAACTACTTACAATCAGGTTGTCAAGAGTAACCAATAAACTTAGAAATTGCCTGTTATATCTGTGGGTGAGGTTGGTCTATAGCAACCCTTTGGTTCATTGGGTCAACAAAATGTAGTGAAGAGTTTAGTTGGTGGCATGAGATATTTAATTGGGACATTGTCTCCCATACTATATGGTGTACGTTTCTTTCTTATAGTCATATGTATTTTAGGAAGCTTCTATAAAAGTATGATTCCATATGGCTTTTCAAATGGCTGTTGGGAACCTCCCATCCACTTCTCACCTTACTCCTCCTATTCTAGTTTGCCCTTTATCTCATTATAACACTGTATTCTATTTCCCCTTCCTTGACAATCCCCTCCTCCACCTTGGTCCTAACCATACTTTTGTCATTATTCTAAAACACACATAGCCATGTATAAGAGAAAATACAGTGTTTGTCTTTTGGAGTCTGGGGTACCTCACTCAGAATAGTTGTTTCTAGCTATTTACCTGCAGATTTCATAATTGCATTATTTTTAATAGGTGAATAATATGTGAATGTTTAAATCTACCACATTTTCATTATCCATTCTTCAGTATGGACATCTAGACTATTTCCAATTTCTGGCTCTAATGAGTCAATGCTCATGAGTGAGCACATATCTCCATAGTAGGCTATAGAGTCCTTTAAGTATTTTTCCAAAAGTAGGACAGCTAGAACTTGATGGAGAATGATACTTAGCTTTGTCAGGGACTTATTTCCATACGTGCTGTATCAGTTTGCACTTTCATCAGTAATGAGTAAATGTTCTCTTTTCCTAAATCTTAACTAGAATGTGATGTTCTTTTATTGATCTTGGCCATTCTGACTGGAGTAAGATGAACTCTCAAAATGCTTTTGATTGTGAATTTCCCTAAAGACTAAGGAACTTAAATTCTCTGAAGGATTTCTCACCATTTGAGTTTCATCTTTTGAGGAGTCTCCTCTCAGTTTTGCACCCCATTTTAACTGGATTATTTTTTTTCCTTGGTGGTATAATTTTAGTCTGTATATTTTAGATATTAATCCTCTTTCAGCTCTACAATTGCTAACAATTTTTGTATCCCATAAGCTGATACTTTATTTGAATTATCATGCTCTTTGCTGCACAGAAGCTCTTTAGCTTCATGAGATTCCATATTAATTGATCTTAGTGCTCATGCACTAAGAAAGTATCTTCCTCTGCCAGTGAGTTCAAGCCTACTCCCCACTTTCTCTTCTGTCAGACTCCTAGCATCTGTCTGGTCTTATATTGGGGTCCTCAATCTAACTGGAGTTGAGTGTTGTGAAGGGTGATAGATAGGGTTCTTACTTTGATTCTTCTACATATAGCCATCCATTTTGACCAGTATAATTTGTTGAAGATGCTGTCTTTATTCCAGGGTGTATTTTCAGCTTCTCTGTCAAAAATCGGGTGTCTGTAGGTATGTAGAATTATGCTTGGGTCTTCACTTCTATTCTGTCACTCAATGTGTCTGTTGTTATGCAAATCCCATGAGGTTTTTAGTACTATAGTTCTTTAGTACAACTTGAAATCTGGGTGATACCTCCATCAGTTCTGTTATTAAGGATTGTTTTAGTACTCCAGAGATTTTTGCATTTCCATATAAAGTTGAAGATCATTTTTTAAATTTCTGTGAAGAAATGCGTTGGATTTTTTTATACTTTAATCTTTTAAAATTAAATTTATTCATTTATTTTATATTCCTTCCTCCTCTCCTCCCAGTTCCTCCCCCAACCCAATCCAATTCACTGCTCCTCTTTTGTGTTCAGAGAGGGCAGGTCTCCCATGGGTATCAACAAAGCAATGAGCTCCTCCCCTTGTACTAAGGCTCCACAAGATAACAAGTATGAGGAATAGGGTCCCCAAGTCCAGCCAAAGCATTAGGGGCAGCCCCTGCTTTCCCCTAGAACTTCCACAAGTAGAACAAGCCACACAACTGTCATATATGTAGAGGGCCTAGGTTGGTCCCATGCAGGACTCTCAGCTGTTGGTCCATATTCTGTGAGCTCCTATACATACATCCAGTTAAGTTGTTCTGTGGGTTCGATCCCCCCCCCAGCTTATATACTTCCTCCTGGCTCTCTTCAGCAGGATTCTCTGAGATCTACCCAGTGACTGACTGATGGAAACTGACCTGTTTCCATCAGTAACTGGAATAAGGTTCTCTGATGACAATTGGGGTAGTAACTTATCCTTCACACTCCGATAGACAGGACAAACTATAGGTCAAAAGTTGTATACTTGATCCAACATCCCAATCCCTCCACCGGAAGTCCTGGCTGATAATGTGTTGGAATTTAGATGAAGATTTCATTAAATCTGTTAATTACTTTTAGTAGGATACCGTTTCCACCATACTAATTCTACTCATTGATGAGCATGGAGGACCTTTCCATTTTCTGATATCTTCAACTTCTTTCTCCAGTATTTTAAAGGTTTTATCTTAAAAGTCTTTAATTTTTCTCTATTAGGGTTACCCCAAGATTTTTTGGGGGGGGCATTGTGAAAGGCTTTGTTTCCCTGATTTCTTTCTCAGTCTTTGTGCATAGGTAGGCTAGTAATTTTTGTGAATAAATTTTGGATCTTGCTACTGTTTACCAGCTGTAAAAAATTTCTGGGTAGAGTTTTTAGGATCATTTATGGATAGAATAATATCATCTGCAAGTAAAGATACTTTGACTTCTTCCTTTCCTGCTGAGACCCTTGCTCTTTTCCAGGTGTCTTATGCTAGTGAAGGCTAGAATATATGGATAAGTGGGGACAGAGTGGACTGCCTTGTCTCGCTTCTAATTTTAGTTGAAATGCTTCGATTTTCTTTTCATTTAGGGATGTTAGCTGCGGACTTACTGTAAATTAGCTTTATTATGTTCTCTTTGGAACTTTTATTATGAAAGCACTTTAGATTTTTATCAAAGGTCCTTTCTGCATGTAGGGTTTTTTCCAGTCTCTATATATGTTGGATTATGTTAATTGGTTTACTTATATTAAATTATCTCCCACATCTCTGAAATGAAGCCAATTTGATCATGGTAGATAATCTTATTTATATTCTTGAACGCAGTTTGCAAGTATTTTATTAAGAATTTTTGCATCCAGTGTTCATAATGTATATTGTTTTGTTTGATGGATCTTTGTGGGGGGTGTTGTCTATTTGGTTTGGTTTGGTTTTTTTAAGACAGGATTTCCCTTTGTAATAGCTCTGGCTGTCCTGGAACTTAACTATGTAGACTAGGCTTGCCTTGAACACACAAAGATCCACCTGCCTGTTACTCCTGACTACTGGGACTAAAGGTGTTTTTGATATGATAATAGTGACTTTTCAAAAGAATTGAAACATATTCTATCAGTTTCTATTTTGCAGAATAATTTGAGGATTATTGGTATTAGTTTTTCTGTGAAGGTCTGAAATAATTCTGTACTGAATCTATATGGCCCTGGGCTTTTGGGGGAATTGAGAAATTTTGGCAAGGGCCAGATTTTTAATTCCTGATTCTATTTCACTAGGAATTATAGGTATATTTAAAGTGTTTATTTAATTTTAACTTTAATAGGTCATATATATCAAGATTTTTATAGGTTTTACAGTTTGGTGAAATACAACCACTTAAATATGTCCTTATGATTCTCTGAATTTCTTCAATGTCTATTGTAATGTCTCCCTTTTCATCTCTAAGTTTATTAATTTTTATCATCTTTCTGTGTATTTTAATTTAATTTTCTTAAGGGTTTATCAATCTTACTGATTTCCTTGAATCAATTCTTTATTTCATTGATTCCTTGTATTGGTTTGTTGTTTCTATTTTAATGATTTCATTTTGGTTTCTCCCCAACTACTCTTTCTGGTTACTATTTCTTGTTGTTTTTCTGGAGCCCTCAACTGTGTACCTAATTTACTAATATGACATCTCCCTATATTTTTTTTAATGTAGGAACTTAGTGCTATGAACTTATCTCTTAGAACTATCTTCATTATGCTCCATAGATTTGAGTATGTTGTATGTTATTTTCATTCAATTGTAAAAAATGTTTTAATTTCCTTATGGATTTCTGTCTTGACACAGTTTTAATTCAGTAGTATGTTATTTAGTTTCCATGAAATTGTATTCTTTCTGCTGTTTCTGATGTTGTTAGTAGGCTGCTTTAATTCATGGTATACTCAGGTATAGGGTGGTATTTCAGTTTTCTTATATATTTTGAGATTTTCTTTGTGTTGTAATATGGGGGGACATATTTGAAGAAAGTGCTGTGAATGCTGAGAAGATAGTATATTCTTTTTGTGTTTAAATGAAATGAACCGTAGACGTTTGTTAGGTCTATTTGGTTTATCATGTTTATTAATTCCATAATTTTCCTGTTTAGTTTTTGTGTTTATGTCCTGTCTGTTGATGAGAGTGGGATATTAAAGTCACCTACTATCACTATGTGAGGATCAATGTATGAAAGTAAATGTATTTATGTTGTGATCTTGGCTGCCCTTGTGTTTGTTACATAAATGTTTAGAATTGTAATATACTCTTGATAGATTTTTCCTTGGCTCTGTATGTAGCTCCCTTCCCTATCTCTACTGATAAGATTTGTTTATTAGTCTGTTTTGTCAGATGTTTAAAAGCTACACCTATATGCCTCTTGGTTCCATTTCCTTAAGATTATGTCTTAAGATGAGAAGATACATTTCTTATTATTCAGTAGATAGATTAAGATATAGTAAAAAGATGAATACTCTTTTCTAATCCAATTTATTATTCTGTGTCATTTTACTGGAGACTAGAGACCATCAATGCTGACAGTTATCAATGAGCAATGTTTATTAACTCCTGTTATTTTGTTGCATCGAGTTTTTTTCTCCTCGAATTAATTCTTTCGGTTTACTTACTCCTTGTGTTTTCTTCATGAAGACTGATGTTTTTCTTCTAGTTCCTTCTGTACAGGTGGATTAGTGGACAGAAATTACTTAAATTTGTTTTTAATCAAGAAGCATTTTTTTCTTTCTCTGTCTATTGTGGTTGTTAGTTTTGCTGGGCATAGTAGTCTGGCTGGCATCTGGGCTCTCTCACAGATTGTCCAAGCTCTTCTAGTTTTCAGAATCTCCACTGACAAGTCAGATGCTAGGTCTGCCTTTGTATGTTATTTGATCTTTTCTCCTCGCAGATTATATTATCCTCTTGTTACTCTATAAACTTAGTGCTTTGATTACTATGTGTTGTGGGAGTTTCTTTTCTGACCCTATCTCTTTGGTGTTTGTTGTGTTTCTTGTACTTTTATGGGCATCTCTTTCTTTATATTGGGGATTTTTTCTTGTGTGATCTTGTTAAAAAGTATTTTCTGTGCCTTTACTTGGGTTTCTTTTCCTTCCTCTATACCCATTGTTCATGAGATTGATATTTTTATGGTCTCCAAGATTTCCTGAATGTCTGTATTTGTTTTTAAGATTTTAATACTGAAATACCTACTTTTCTCACCTTGTCGTCAAGATCTGAAATTCCCTATTCCATGCTTTTAATCTATTGATGAGGTTTAGATCTAAGGGTGGTGTTTTGATTTATTTTGATATCTTAAACATTTCATTTCAAATGTTACTTTAGTTTAAGTTTCCTTTAGTGAATTTTGTTTTGTTGTTGTTGTTGTTAAATTCTACTTTCATTTCTTAAATTATGTTCATTCAACTGTTAATGTTTTTCATTAAGGCATGTATTCATATCCTCATTAATGTCCTTAAACATATTTATAATTACTATTTTGAAGCCCTTGTCTTGATCCTTAGCTAAATTGCTTTTATGTGAACCTATGACAGTATGGTTTCTGGCTTCTGGAAGAGGCATTTTGTCACAGATACTCATATTTGTGTTTTTGTGCTGGGCCCTAAGCATCTGGAGTTAGGACCCATGAGCATTTCTTGGTGTAGATATCTGGTCTCATTCTTTTCTGGAGTGGGTGTTACAGTCTTTGGTTTCTGTTGCTTAATCTGTGTCCTAATCAAGTGTAGTGGCTTTGGAATCTTTGGTGTCTGGAAGAACTAGGAGGACAATGGGCCCATATCAAGGGACTTAGTCCCTAGGGATAGGATTTGGCTGTTGGGGTTGGTTGTTGGCTGCACCAGGAATACGATTAAGTCTAGAGAGACTGGCCTGGAGAACAGAGAAGAAGATATAGGTTATTTGCCTGAATCCCATCCCAGCCTAGCATAGTAGCTGTACGCCAGCAGGGTCAAAGAAGAATAGAAATGGCCTTGAAGTAAAAGCTGAAAGAACTAGGAAGATCCTGGGTCCACATAAAAGGAATGAGTCCCTCAAATATGTTTAATGTACCATTTGAGAAGTTCACACAGTCCACAAGATATCATCAAAATTTTTTCAATCCATTTTGTTGTAAAATAAAAAGAAAATAGTTTTTATTCTGAAAATCCTGAAAGGTGTGTTTGTTTGTGATCTCTGACACACAGACCATAGCTAAGCAAATTTCTACTTTGCATGGCCAGCACTTTACTATGCAGGTGCTGTGTTCCTGTTTGGTTAGATACAAAAAATCTATAGGACTATTTAACTCAAACTTAGAAGAGAATAATTATATTAAAACTTTATTAGTATAATAATGTAGCAATTTAGATACATCCTGGAATTATGACAATTTAATTTATAATATACTTAATGAAAATACATTTAATGCCTCTGCATAAGGACTGAATACCCCTGTTACTGCACACAGAACATGAAGCCACAGCATAGGCAAACTCATCATCTGCTCTCCTGTAGGTAGGGCCTCCCTAAATGCTGGGTGGCATCTCTGTGCCTGGTAGGCAGTAGATTCAGGAATCTATTCTGAATCATGACAACAGGTTCTTTATCTTTTCTTCAAACTACTTATTGCCTCTTACCAGGACAAATTTGGTGAAGCAAATCGAATTTAACTTCCGTTCACAAGCCATCACCTCTTCGAGAGCCACCGTATCAAAAGAACAAGAGAGGTTTGGGAAAGTGCCATTCGATTATGCCAGTTTTGATGCTCAAGTTTTTGGTAAACGTCCTCTCATACAAACAGGACAAGGACAAAAGACTCCACCATTTCCTGAATGTAAGCGTCAAATTTGAGTCCTAACAGTTATTACCCTAAAATGCATCGTGTATAGAGGGGGATTATATATTCACATATATCACATGCTCTCTAGAGATGATAGGAAAGAACAATGAAATAAGTTAAGTTAGCCATTATTCCTAATTTTATATCAAAGTTACACTGAATATTGTAAGTCATTAGTTATTTCACAGATAGTGCCATTATTGAATCTAAATATAACAGTGCTAAAAGAAATAATTAGGAGCGTGATTAATATATTGAAAGCTATGACAGCTGTTATACTATATTATTTTAATTCATGTTGTGATCATGGCAAGCTAATAAGATGAAATATGTAATACTATTTAAAACACTGAAATCATCAAAAGCCATCAGATTGAAGGTAGGGAAAGCTAAAAAATCCAAGAAACTTAATAAAGGAATCTGAAATTTACTAGAATAAAAACATGACTGTCAAAACATTGACTAATAAATTTAAGGATTAATTAATATAGAAACCCTTAAAATAGATTAAAAAGCATTCTCAACAATTCTGACACATCCATAGGGAAGACTGAACTGAATGGTTGTGCAATGTGTAAAATTTGCTGGCCTTGTGTTTACATTTCTCATAAGTATGCTAATGAAAAGGCAAAAAGCAGGGATTAGGAACAAATGCTAAAAATTATGGGTAATCCATCTTCAATAATATATACACACCCACTGGAGTCCTCTGTGGGCCATCCATTTATTACAGCCTTAAAACTTATGACTCTCTCAGATCTTATACCTGAATGGGGTGAGCGTCTTGTGAGTCCAGTGTTTGCTTCATTATGTCACGTTGACCCACACTAGTAGGAACCTAGAAGGCTACCTAAAACCTGGCAATGGGGATCCCATGGATGAAGCAATATACAAAGCCTGGGCTTTCACCCTCTGTCTCCATATATGTCAGCAAATTTGAAAGGAGTTTATCCATAATTGATGAGTACATAATTACAAAAAAAAAAATCTACTCTTAATCAAAAATTGTCCAAGCAAACATGAGTAGCCATTGACAATTTGTTAGATTCAGAAAAAAAAAACTCATTATAATTTCACCCAGCAGCCCAATCTTGTAATATTTTATTATATGTGTACAATGTATACATGTGCATATACACTTAATTTACATGAAGGTGGATGAAGACTGCACTATATACTCACACTGTTTGGATATTAGTTATAAAAACCATAATAGAGTTAGTAACATCTTCATATTCTTGTAGTTACAGGAATAATATTCAGTAATATCTTTTATTAAAAAAATAATCAACTTTTTTTTTTAAATAAGCAGCATTTACACCAAAAATGAAAGCTAAGTGCTTTTATATCTTTATGTCTCGGCTATTTCTCCCATGACCTTGAGTGGTGCTCACAAACAGCCCACAGTGCAGGGAAATCTGCATCATTATGTCCCTCAGAAAAGCCATGGTACCTACAACAAAACACAGAAAGTCAGCCTTGGTAACTAAGTGGCCTTTCTCTTCACCTTGAAAACGGGCCCTCTGTCCTCTGCTCAGCTTTCTGAGGCCTCTCTCCCAGTTAAGTACAGAACAAACATTCATCCCACGTAATGAAAATACACCCTGTGCTTAAGCACAAACATTGGTGAGGCAGCCCCTGAGAGGTGCCTGGCCCCACCTGCTCAATACCAAAACATATGCACACCAGTCCTGAGCTGTTTGCAATGTGTGGTGGGCTTTGCTCATTTTTTATCTACAGTTTTGCATACATGTTGAAGTACACCTGCCCTGTACATTGATGATGGTGTCTCTGTCACCTATAAAGAAAATACAACAACTCTTAAAGAGACAGGCATCTTTAAAGAACCTCACCATCTGCTCTGTGCACCTTGGCAAAACCTGCCTGGGTAACCTTCATTTAAAGTACCAACAGATAATCGTTCTGCTTTACGTTATTTTAATGAAAGAAGTGTTATCTTTAAAAAAAAAAATCTTTGATGACTGAAGCTGAGTACATGCAATTGCTAATCAAATCTCTCTTCAACAGCAAAGCATTTTTCAAATCCAGTGAAATTTCCTAATGGGCTGCCTAGTGCTGGCGCCCACACACAGAGCACAGTCCGTGCCAGCTCTTATGGCCATGGTCAGTGCAGTGAAGACACCCACATAGCAGCAGCTGCTGCCATCCTGAACCTTTCCACCCGCTGCAGGGAAGCTACAGACATCCTCTCCAACAAACCACAGAGCCTGCGTGCCAAGGTAAGCCAGGCCAAGAGCATGGAAGGTGGGCCAGCGAGTGAGACTTGAGAACCAACTGCCTTTCCTGTTCCTGAGTGCAGCCACTCACTTCCCCCTAGTCCTTGCCCAAGCAGGGATGAGTTCGCAATGGGTTCAAGGAACGAATGCGTGCTTATCTTGGAGGTCTAGTCGTCACTGGAGAGCAGTGACTTATGAGGGTGGTTGAGGATACTCTCGTCACTGTTTCTGGTAGGAGGCATCTGGAGGACAAGGAAAGAGAGTCCCTGTTAAAATGCTTCTCTGCTGTGGAAGCTTTTCGCCGTCTGCAGATCAGAGCCATTTAGGAGCAGTGGCTTGTAGAACATCGCAAAGACTGACCATGAAGTTATGTTGTACATGACACCATTGCATACCATGAGGTTGTAGTGTTCTCATGAGACCCCCAGTCCAGTGACTCAGCAGACTGTGGAGACTAGAGGCTCTAATGTTCAATCAATAATCAAAGCCTAGGACCTTTGTGAACACAGTACATTTCCTAAGAGATTAATCATATTTTGCACAGTCTTTTCTCACTGTGAGAAATACACATTCTAATTTAGGTGACTTAATGAATGTACAAAGGCCCGGTATGTTGTGAATCACAGGGGAGGCTGGAAGGGCTCAGTGTTTTCTCCTGTACACAAACAGCCTCACTTAAAGAACTTATTGCCTACCTAGATAACTAGAAACCAGCCAACATAGAGCACCCAGACATTCATTCTCTGTCACAGATTTTACCTGTGCTCATAATGAAAGATTTCCTGAGTGACTCCCAGACCCTGAGGCCTGTGCACTCCAAGCTGAGGCATTTCCCTTTAAGGGCAGACCCATCCGTGTGTGGTCAGCTGCTCGCCTGTGCTGTGCCAGGCCTTCAGGAGAGCAGGTAGCATTTGACAGAAGAATCAGAATTAGCTTCTGGAAGAAGCCAAGCCAAGTAAACCCCAGGAAGAGGTGGTTGCCAAAACCCACTCAAAAACAATCTTCAAACAAATGAGGTTCTTAAACAAAGAAAAAAATATATATCCTCTAAATATACAGAAAAAGATACCCAACTCTCTGAATTCATAATGCCAGTCAAAATTACTGAAACGGGAGAAATTTGAAGGATTTAAAAAAAAAACAACTTTATTTTCAAATTGGCATTTTAAGATCTGATTTATTTTTCCTTCTTAAGAATATGATAGAGGTACCTGGTTCCAGAAATACACCAACATCTTCCTTCCTTCCTGCCCGCCTGATTCCATCGCTATCTTATAGAAAATGGGGTCCGCCATCATGGTTATTGGAGGCGGAGCAGCTAGAGAGTTGCTAGGACAAATGTTGGCCGTTTGTACACGGGCATACTTCCCCGCTCCCCAGAGTTCTCCTTTTACCTGGAGTCTTCATGTTCCATTAAATTGCTGATGTCAAACAAGTAACAGGCGTTTTCATGCCTGTCTGCTCTCTTAAAAACATATTTCTGATTAGAAAAACACCTGTTTAAACGCCAAATTTCATAAAGCCAAGTAATCCTTTTCTAACACGTTTGTCTGCCCCTTGTATCAATCAGCAAGGCTATATGCCGCAGACCGGGCATTCCCAATGTAAGGTCCTCTCCAACACAACACTTTCTACTCTCCACTGACGCCAGGATGGTGGAGATAGAAAGGGCTTAGATCAGCTTTGGAAAGGAGCAACTTATGCCAGAGCTCTTCAGAAATTTTTCCGATGAGAAGTAGCCCCCTCACAGAGTGGTTGGATAGGGTAGGATAAATACGGCCTCCTCCCAGCATCACTGTGAACAGTACTGCTGAACCACGTATCTGGCTACTCAAATTCTCACACAACTACCAATTGTAGAACTCTGTCTTCATTAGTCTCCTGAATATGGAACTGTTTCTCTCAAATTTGCTGAGACAAATCTTTTAGAAACAAAACAAAAACAGGTTAACTAACTCTTCAGACCTATGTCTCAGCAAAGCATGCTGAGTATGTGGCTTTGCTGTTGCCAACAAAGATAGGATTAGATGCCATCTTCCCCTTAGCGTTGCATGCCAGCCGAATTCTTCTTCCAGTAGATTTGAATTTTTCCATCACAGGTTGGTGCGCCTTTATTTCTGAAAGTTCACACCCATAAGATCTCCTATGCTTCATATTTAGAAGCAAATGCAGAAAACCCAATTGTCTTACATTATAGTTGTGTCAGTACACGAGTCACATTGGCCAGTAGAGTCTAAACTGGTTTTGTCTCTACCACTGGTTAGACTGGTGTTTCTCAATCTAGGGGTCACAACAGCTTTGGAGACAGAAATCCTTTTCACAGGTGTCACCTAAGATCATCACAAAGCACCAGTATTTACATTGCAATTTATAACAGTAGCAAAATTACAGTTATGAAGCAGCAATAAAAACAACTTTATGTTTGGGGTCAACACAACATGAGACTGTATTTAAGAGTGTCAACATTAGGGTTGTTGGGAACCACTGCTTTAGACTGAGGCTGGATTCAGGGAGCTTACAGGTAAGCAGAAGGAAAGGAATGCCTGCCCTTGGACCTCTGAGGCAGGAGTAGGTGAGTGGAGGCTGGGGCATGCACAGGTGGCTTCACAGTACCCTCCATCTGAACCGGAGGTGACTGGTTTCTTCCTTTCCTCTTATTCCCAACCAGAAACATTTGCAGTGAGCATCTCTTTGGCTGCTTACAGTACCAATCAGAGAATTAATTAAAGAGCACACTCACTGTGGCCTTAGACCAAAGCCTGAAAACCTTAAAAATGCTGAAACACCACCTCAAGCATATAAAGATTTTTCTCCAAGGACACCACTGACTCTACACTAAGTAGGGTTCAGAATTAGTGATCTGCAAAACACTCAGAATGTTTTCAGAGGGCAAGGAAACTCTGTGTCCCTACGTAAATACAAATACAAGAAGGATGATATTAAGATGTCTATTGCTCTGGAGAGACACCATAACCACAGCAACTTTTATAAAGAAAAACATTTAACTGGAGCTCGCTTGCAGTTCAGTGGTTCAGTCCATTGTCACCATGGTCAGAAGCACGGCAGCAAGCAGGCCGACGTGGTGCTAGAGCAGTAGCTGAGGGTCGTACACCTGGGCCCTCAGGCAGCAGGAAGAGTAAGACACTGGGCCTGGCTGGAGCTTCTGAAACCTCAACACCCGCTGTTATGATGAGCTACCCATAGCCTTTTGAGCCCGAAATAAACCATGTATCACCCACCCCTCAGTGACACACTTCCTCCAACAAGGCCACCCCTCCTTATAGTGCCACGGCCTGAGTCTACAGGGATCATTTTTATTCAGACTACCACAGATGATGTAGATAGTTTACCCTGCTATACCCACTGCTTTTTATTTAATCAACCTGTGTTGATTAAATAAGCATACCAGGTACACACCATATCAGTGCAAAGAATATCAGGCTGTATCTAACATGACTGGTCCCTTTCCAGACTATTTGTTTAATTATTTTTTAAACTATTTGTTTAAAAACCATCTTAGAGCTGAATAGCATATTCACACCACCAGATCTCTTTCACATGGTTTAAGGAATTAAGGAGAGAATAATTTGTACATTTAGTTCTTAGTGAACATCATAAAGGTTAAATGAACTTCATGTAGGTTTTGTCTGAAATGCTATTTTTCTTTTTATTCCACTACTTTTGTTGGTTCTAGGATGTGAAGAATGCCCTCCGTCTTTATTTGACATAAATGCTGAAAGATAAACTGGTTAGTGTTAAAGACCTTAAGGTGCTTTTTCCGACTCTGTGACTCTAGGTAGGAGTAGAGCCATGAGTATAGATGGACAGACAATGAGCATCCGGGTGTGCTTTGTCACTTTGTGTCAATGTCCCTGAGAGCTGAGCCAGCCTGTGGTGGGCGGAACACACTTCCCCTCCTCCCATTCTGATACACAGAGGCAGCGCATGCCTCCAGTCCATCTTTATCCTCCTCACTGCTGCTCGCCAAGCATTCTGTTATTTGTTTTGGTGTTTTTCCCACCTGTTTAGACAAAATGACATATGCACAGCTCCTTAAAAGAAAACAGAAATTTGACACTTCCTTGAAGTGTTTAAAGTTCAAAGTCTGTTTTTGCTTGAACAAGACCTAGAAACAGCATGCCATTAATGTTGCATGCTCACAGGAAACCCCCAATGGCCCCTGGGTGGTTAGAACCCAAAGCATATTTTAACATCTGAACACATTGTACCATACATTGTGAGTGGAAGATGACATGGGTCCTGAAGCAGGGGTCATAAAGAACTGACTGTGTAAGTGTATTGTAGCTAGATGATGCTTTATAGCTAGCTCCTTGCTGGACTTGATGATGCAGCCTGTAACCTCAGCACCAGAGAGGCTGAGATGGGGTATCAAGAGCATGAGGCCATCCTGGGCAATGTAGGAAGACCCTGCCTCAAGACAAGTAAATAAATGAAATATTGACTCTTTAGCCCTGTGAACAGTAACCAAGGTCTATGCCTCTTTGGGGGTTGTGATTTATGGAATACCTACTATGTGCACTGTTCATAAATTCTCTGACCATGTAAATCCCTTTAAGTTCTCCTAAAGTCTATAACATGGAAAATAATGTTCCATTTTCAGTGGCAAAAACAGTGGTACAGTTGAATAATTGTTTTGTGAGTGGCATGACTATAATTGCCAGAAGTGGAATTTGAATTCACACATAGCCTTAGTTATTTTCTAAAATGCTTTACGGCTCATATACTGTCAAACCAAGAGCTTTGTAGAGCTTGATTTCAGATTCAAAATATCTGCTTTGCTTGAACAAGGTCTAGAAGTTTGGGGAAGTATCTCTAAATTTTATAACCTTGTATTAGCCACTTCTTCTCTGTGCTGCATAATTCTTTGTTACAAACATAGCTCACATGTTTATCATCTTTCCAGTGGTAGCAATTAGTTATTGCTGAATAAGAAGTAAAGAGTGCTTGCTTTCTTTCTCCCGTTGTATAGGACTTTATAACTTTCCTTTGGTCCTCTTATTACTGTGGCACTGACCAGGTAATGTTCTAGTTAGCAGAGGTGCTGTGGTTACACTAATCATGTCCTTGCTGTTGAACATGTCGGTCACTACTTAACTTCTAGGAGAGATTATTATTACAGTCACTAGGTCTGTAAACTTTCAGTTTCACTGTCATTGATAATAAACATGGTACCTTTCACTAGAAGCCATTACCCTTAAGGCACGACCTTGAAAGCCAGAACAACCTGCTTTTCAGGTTCTCTTTTCTACACACTGTAGAGATGATCATGAGAACATAGTGCATGTTCTCAGCAATGCAATGAATACACCTATAGCAGTGAGGTCGCAACTCAAAGGCAGCATCAGTAGATGGCTTATATTGTCCCTCCTCAGCTGAACGGTATATAATAGCCAGCCCCAGGAATCTTAAGGTGTAAGGACCTAAAATAAAGACCCCCCCACATAGCACTTCAGAAGTCTAAGTGTTAGAAGGTGTGAGGAGGAAGGGCTACCTGAGCTACAGCTCTGGCCTTGCCTCTCCACCTGCCACTCCCGCCACTCAGATTTCTGTGCTGACATTTGGAGTTCAAAGCACAGAAAGAGAATGCCTGGTGGTATGACTCTGAATAAAAACCCATGCTGGGAATGTGTGGTCCCCATCATGGGTAGAAAGGGCCTTCCTGCTGCAGTGTAATTGTTGGATGCATCTGCGCACTTACTTAACGCCCATCTGTACTCCTATCCCCAGCGCACAACATCCCCTTTCCCGGAGCCAGGGGCCCTGAGCAGCAAGCTGAGATACCTCTTTCAAACATTAGGAGTAAGATTTTTCTAATTAACTGTAATCATTCAATACAAATAATTATAATGAGTCCTAAAATCTCCAAATTTTAAACAATATTAAAAGTACTTCTCTAAAAAACTAATATATATATATATACACACACACACATATATATATGTGACTATTCTTGGAGTAGTTGGTATTTTTCAAAGCTTAAATCTGCACTATTTATGGGTTTTGCACTATAAAACTCTGCAGCCCAGTCACATGGCTTCTTTTTCCTAAGCCATCTGTCACAGAGGTCTGGAATTTTATGTGAATGTTGGTTGTGCAGCTTTAACCCAAGTTTTTTTTTTTTTTTAATTTTTTTATGAAAAATGTCAGCAACTACAATATTTAGCATTTTACTTTACGTTGGCCATTAAACTTGATTACTATTGCTCTGTTTCATTGCTATAGTTACACATCAGCTACAAAGCAAAACATTGCTTTGATGCCGGACTGGCAGAATGTATTGTGAGCTCATGTCAGGAGGGGGGCTGGTGGCAATGATATGGTTAATATCTTGGATTTTTTTGTACCAGAGGTTTATTAATGCTGGTATAAAAATGTATTTGATATTATACAGATGGCATAAGATGCTGTGGTTACTATGTTATTATCCTGGATAAGCTGTAATATCAAATTCAGGGCTTAAAACTATCACAGGAGATTAAACTATTTACTAAAAAGGGACAAAAAGATATGGCCAAAGCATCTTAGCCTGTCGTATTAGAAGTGTATTTACCTCCGGTAAATGCTTATGGGCTGAGAGACTAGATAGGAACTTTGCAGGTAAAACAAACAAAAAGAAGAGGGACTTTCATCTCTCAATCAAGCACAAGCAGTGATCCCAGCCTGTATGGCTGCTGCGAAGGGGGGCGTGAGTGAGTTTAAACATATGACTTGGGGAGTATCTGGTGACTTCAAGAGCTAAGGGTCTTGCTAAGATAAGGAAAAGGATGTCTCCTTTGTCAACTGGAAAGGAAAAGTCAAAAACTGGTCAAGAAGTTAACTATAAATTGATGGGTGTTATAGAAATAACAGCAAGGTTACTTGATTCATTTGGAGAGTTGATAGGCAGGTTTCTCCAGCTTTAGGGAGCTCTGGTAATGTTAACAAAAGCACCTACAGTGCAAATCTTGAAGAATCAGACCACAGGAGTAGTCCATGTGGTTACTGCCCAAACAGAGATGTTACTCCTCAGAAACAATGAGAGCTTGCTCAAAGGATCCCAAAGGGGGTGGGCCTGCCTGGAAAGCCTCATCGAGCAACAGAAACTGATACCTTCATCCTAAATCTTCATTATAGAACTGAAGCTCTGAGTCCCCAGAGTGAAGTCAATTTGCACCTAGCCCTTCTCCCTTCTCACTCACCACAATTTAACAAAGCCTGATATTTTAGTTAGGGTTTCCGTTGCTGCAAAGAAACACCATGACCAAAAAGCAAGTTGGGGAGGAAAGGGTTTATTTGACTTAAACTTCACATTGCTATTTATTACTGAAGGGAGTCAGGACAGGAACTCAAACAGGGCAGGACCCTGGAGGCAGGAGCTGATGCAGAGGCCTTGGAGGGGAGCTGCTTACTGGCTTGCTTCCCATGGCTTGTTCAGCCTGATATTTTATAAAACCCAGGACCAACAGCCCAGTGATGGCACCTCCTACCATGGGCTGGGCCCTCCGCAGTCAGTCACTAATTGAGAAAATGTCTTTCAGCTGGATCTCATGGAGGCATTTCCTCACAAAGGCTCCTTCTCTGAAGATTCTAGCTGTGTCATATTAACACGCAATCAGCCAATACACTTCTCCAGTTCAGATGGTCTAAGGTGCATGTTGCTTTCCTACTCCTATAATAGTCTGAAAATTCTCTTCTAGCTGATTTTGTGTGAATATTTATAATGTTGGATTAATATTATGATTCATGGAGTTGGGGAGTTAAACATCACTTTTGCTAAACACAAACATAAATGCTAAAATGGTGAGTTTGGAATAATGCTTCCAGTGGGTACAAAAGACTTGGGAACCTTTAAAAATATGCAAGAATGTAAAATTGTTTTAGCCAATGCATCTCATTTATATTAATCTTACTTTGTTTAAACCTAGGAATATGAAGCACATTAATGGGCTGTTCTTTAAAGTCTGCCTAAGAATTGAATGTTACCCAATGCAAATCAGAAAGCTGGATTTAGAAGCAGATATACTTCCATAAAAGCTTACATTTTAAATTATCCCTTAAAAGCCCCACATGGCGAGGCTCTAACTGCAAACTGCTGAGATGTTTTCCATTTCTGTTCTCTATCAGGGAGCTGAGATAGAAGTGGATGAAAATGGCACATTGGACTTAAGCATGAAAAAAAATCGAACCCTGGACAAGTCTATACCCCCAACTTCCTCTCACACTACAGTTACAACCCCGTCTTCTTCCCCATTCAAAGCAAGCAGCCTTCTGGTCAATGCTGCCTTCTACCAGGCTCTTTGTGACCAAGAAGGCTGGGATGTGCCCATCAACTATAGCAAAACCCATGGAAAGACAGAGGAGGAGAAAGAGGTATTGTGTCAATGTGTCTGTGAACTAGTCTTCCCCCCTAAGTTTTCCTTCACGTTCCTGTCTTGTTTTAGATTTTCCATTTTATTTTTATCTATATGAATGATTTTCCTGCATTTATGTATGCATTCCACATGCGTGCCTAGTGCCTATGAAGATCACAGGAGGGGATCATATCCTATTGAACAGGAGTTATAGATGATTGAGGGGGTTGTGAACTGAACCCAGGGCCTCTTCAAGAGCAGCAAGAACCATCATCTCCTTATTCACTGGTTTAGACCATGATAAAGTAATGATGAAATTTATTAATGAACCCAACTTTTCGGGACCTTTGCCTGAGTTGCATCATTACAGTCAGTTTTAGTCACACAGTGGTGGCGGTTGTCCTCGGAGCAGCCTGTAAGGGGCAATGCACTACTCAGCAGCAAAAGCCCAACTCAATAACACACTTTGAATTGGTGTCAAGGTGAAATACAACCAAGGACAATAAGAATCTTGAAATCATGTTAAAGCCTCGTGTTTGATTTCTTGGACATCCCAAGACATGGGACATGTTTGTAGAGAAGTTTGTGAGTAAGTGGACATCTAGGTAGAATTAGTCTCTAAGTCCAGGAGATATACTTGTGCGTTTGGTTATCTTAAAAGGGGTCAAAGTTTTTGACAGGGTGGGAAGCATTTGACCCTCTTTGTTTCTTCACAAGTGCACCATTGACATAGCCTGAGCAGATGCTTAGGTCCCACATAATTACAGAGGAAGCCCTGGTGATGAGAGTGGGTGACCCCATTGTGATAGTAATCAGAAATGTCATTGAGAGGCTTTCCAAGTGGTGTGTGTAAAGACTGACATATCTATTGCTGTGGAAATGTGTGTGATCTTGTTCAGCTGTTTGTGTTTCAGAGATGGGAAAGCAATTTGATTTTCATTTACTCTCTTGGAAGTGAGTCAACATCTGTAGTAAGTGACCACGGGTGTCCTTTTTTCCTTTCCCCTCCTACCCTCCTTCTACATATTTCCTCTGGCATCTCAAAGGATAAGCAGTGAGATAGGTCCAGGGGATACATTAGGAGAAAAGGCTTCAGCTCCACCATGGTGCTCCCTGGCCTTGGGCCTGCTCATGGCAGCATGGGGCGCACACCTGTAATTCTAGTACTCAAGAAGCTGAAGCAGGAGAATTGTGAGTTCCAGGTTGCTGTAATCTACATAGTGAAACCCTTTCTTATTAAGCAAATGAAAGTCACGCAAGCCTGTACCTAAAGACATGAATCTGGAGGAGGCCCTGACTCTAGGACTCCTTGCACCATGTACATCAATCCGCACCACCACCTGGAGGGAGACTGGCTTGGTCCAGCATTAGCATTAGGTTAGACTGATGCTACTGTAGCCTGTTGGCGTTTTCCAGATCTTTACATTGTCCATCAGTTAAATATCCCTAACTCAAAACTCTGATGTGCTCCAAATACTTTTAGTGTCGTAGGCGGTTTATTGGTGCTCAGTAATGACTACCAACTTCCCCCACTGTCATCCTGCGTGCACACGGAAGAACCAAAGTGACACCACACTCCCTCTAGTGCTAGAGCTGAGGAGGCAGCGAGCAGCGTGCAGGCAGATGATGTGGACTAAACAGAAGTCATTCTGTTTCAAGAGAAATGGTGCTTCGCAGAGTAGCTATAACTGCATCTCATTCTTGTATGAAATAAGAAACCTACAAAGTTCTGATAGTTCAATGCCATGCCATGAGGGGCTTTTAAATATTCTGTTCTTGACTGTATTGACATGACATGGCATGACTTGGTGTCGCATGGCATGACTGAGACTTTATTGACTGAACCTTGGTCAGTTTATGTGACAGAACCTTCCTGGAATCTTGGTGCTCAGTTTCAGCCAGGTGGATGTGAGCCTGGGCAAAAGTGCAGCAGTGAGCCTTGGGTGTGGTTCAGGGTAGTTCGGCTATCACTACACAATTGTGTCTTCTCCCACTGCCTTCTTGTCTATTCTTAGAGCCCAGCCTGTCAGAAAAAGAGACTCCTAACAACATTGTTTCTTTAACCTCCATAAAATTAGAAAAAAGGAAACATCTGTGCTCATCTTGGTAGTTGTATAGATTCAAATGTTTTGTTTTTCCCTACTTGACATATATCTGTGACAGTGTTTTATTTCTCTGTACACACACACACACACACACACACACACACACACACACACACACACACACACACTTCAGGTCTGATAGGGCAGCCTTAATCTACAGCTTTCTACTGAAGTATTGTGAAACGGAATTTAGAATCTATGTTGGACTTCAATGCCACTGACAGAGTCCAGGAGGACTGGAGGGATGTTAAGTGTTTGTGGACTCACAATGCTTACCATGAGTGAGCGAAACCCTTCTTCCATAGCTGTTCATATTTGATGGGAACTCACATAAAAGTGACAATCATTGAAACTCCCTGGTGCAGTTTCTTACCTTTGTTCTTTTTTCTTTTTTCTTTCATCTGTACCAAGATAGTCTCATGAACAGAGAGTATTTTTCACATTTTGAATATTGAATATTTGAATTTTGAATATTAAAAAGTATGAGGCTTGAGAGATACCATTTTAAAAGTAACTTGGGTTAAATTAATAACTTATATTCAGAATCCTTGTTTAGAAGTCATCAAAGGAATACCACATGCAGAAAAAAAAACACAGTGACTCCTTCTATACCATGCCTCATTATCCCAACAGTCCTGTTCGTTCTGTACCATGCTTCATTATCCCAACAGTCTTGTGAACAGGTTTAGTAACATATCCAGAGAAAAGAAATGATAAGCAAAAATATAGAGAATTACTGGTTCTTGTGTTACAGAAATTATCTTGGAATTACCGAAGACAAGGCAAAAGTAAAGTGGGAAAATGTATTTAAAAAAAGTAAGGAAGAAATCACAATAGACAGTTCTAGGGAATAATAAGAAAAGTTTCAATAGTGAAAATAAGATGTGGAGGAGGAAGAGATGGAAAAGGAAGAGATAGTTGGACAAGTGTGTAGAAGCTATCATTGCCTAGTCCAAAAATGAGGACCAAAGTCAGATGCCCTGGCAGATCTTCGGGGTATGACAAAAGAATAAAGTCCCTTTGCTAGGATTGCTTATGGACCCTGGGTACACCATTGGTTCATAATGAATGTTTGAAGACCCGAAAGCATTTCTTCCCATTTGTAACTTCCTCACAGCACCCACACCACCAGAAATTGAATGATTATTTCTAATTCATTGTTATCTAGTTCATATGCACAACAGTTGCTTAATTTTGGTGGTAATTTTCAGAAAATATTGTCTATCTCTCTCAGAGAAATAGCCTGTCCAGATGCCCCCCTAAAAAAATATCCCGAATCTGGAAAAAATTCAAAATATCTCAAAAGGAAAGTACTGAGAAATAACTAGGGCTGTCAGCTTCGTTCAACTGTCAGTCATCCAAAGATTTCAGGGCTTCAGATTTTAAAAGTGCCAGATGCTATTATCTGTTATTCATGTTACCATTATGTTCTGATCCTTACTGAAATCAATATAACCTTCCATCTGTACATTGAAGAATCTAGTTGCACATGTGTGCTCTCTAAATACACATATACATGTCTTTATTGTAAATCTTGCACAGAGCAAAATTACTGTTTTTCAAAACTGTACTTTTTAAGGTGTTGAGTAACAGTCTCAGAAATACTGAATTTCTACACTGGGTGCTATTTAAAAATGCATTCAGTAGAGTGTGCTTCTATAACAGAACTATTCCTGAAAATTCTTGTAGCTGTGGCCACATGTGTGTATGTTCTCTGCAGGTTTGCAGAGTAGAATGTGACAGCAAAGCAAAAGCTGAAAATACAACTGATTTATAAGCACAAGAGTCTATAGTTTAAAAAGTCATGAAATATTTAAAAGGTCCTCACCAATAAAAACTTCTCGTAAAAAAAAAAAAAAAACCCTTTACAATACTTTATCATGCCACTTAAATGACATGTACCCAGCCAACACTGTTTTATGTGCATTTTAGCGGTAAAACAATCTGAACTTTAATATCGATCATTTCCTTTAAAAATTTCTCCATAATCCCACATTCCACAATACACAGATATAACCCTCAACCAGAAGCATCGCCGTGCTTGACTGTAAACGATCATGACTTTGGATAGAGACTTTGATCCCAGTCTCAGAATAAAGAAAACAATGAAGTGATTATTTCACTTCATGCCACTTTGAGAAACATACAGATCTAAGTAGGAAAGCAGGCTCTTCCACACTGAGACATATTGAATTTAGCTTTCACATGAAGTTTCAAAAAGCCAAAGACATTTCTAAGCTAGAACGGAACTGCTCATAAGCCAAGTCCACATTAAAATGAATGGCAGAATGAGCAGGTGGAAAGCTCCAGTACCTGGAATCCCTCGATTTTAACCATTTTCATAGCAAAAATTTAAAAACAAAGTTCATTCACCTACGTCGCCACAGGTTATTGGGGGCAAGAGAGAGGCTTTGAAAAAACCCTTCTCCGAAGTTTGGACATTATGCACATTTATCTTCCAGTCCATTTTGGTGTCGGTTACGTTTTTAACCAGTAAAATAACATAGAATACTTAGTAGCACTGACAATAGAAGGAATGGTGTTGTACCATGATGGAGCCTGTTAACGTGATATAAAATAACAACACACTGAGGTAGCTCTACTGTGGCGCAATGGCCCTCCTGTTGTGCCACTGCTGCTGTGACAGCTGGATATGAAAACAATAATCCGTGGGTTAATTAGGGTATGTTTATTTAGTGAAAAGACTTGAAATATGCTAATATAGTAACAACTTTATAGCTCAAGAAATGTCTCCATATCCACAAAGACGTGAACTTTTAAAAGGTGTTACTTCTCACTTATAATCCCCAACTCTTTGGATAAAGGACTCTCACAATCTGTACATGTTCTTTTATTCATTATGTTTTCATTCTTCATATAAATCCTTTGTAGGACTCAAAATATGTCTTCAAGCCAAACTCAGTTGACACCAATAATTTCAAATCCAGTTGTCTTTTCATGGTTCCCTAATGATATATCCCTTTCTCCCACCACTCACTATTTTTTTGTTTGTTTGTTTGTTTTGGCTGTTATTTGTTTTTCAGAAAGACCCTGTGAACTCCTTAGAAAATTTAGAGGAAAAAAAGTTTGCTGGAGAGGCCTCTATTCCAAGCCCAAAGCCCAAGCTTCATTCAAGAGATCTGAAGAAAGAGCTAATCACGTAAGTGCTTCTCGGCTACCTATGCTAAAAGATTCTGCAATTAGGAGACAAATTTACAATCGTGAGTGACATCTCAACTAGTCATTGTATACCTAGTATCCTGCACTGCACTAAGGAAGCTTCTAAAAGTATGTATGCATCAATAGATGGACACACTCAAACAACCAGTTTATCCCCATGGAACTCAGCATTCTGTCACTGCTACAAAGCACCAGAGGTCATCAATTTGTAGGGAAAAGGTTTATTATGGCTGATGGATTTGAAAGTTTCAATACATGGCTACTTTGCTCTGTTGCCTTTGGGTCTGTGGTGAAGCATAACTCTGCGATACGGGCATATAATGGAGGAAACTGCTTACATCATTGTTTTGTGGAACAAGAAGATAGGTCCTAATATCCCCTTTTGGGCACAACTTCAGTGACATCCCACTAGGCCACACTGCGTGAGGTTTACCACCTCTAAATCCTAACAGCCTGGTTTCAGGGCCTTCAACATCTGGGAGACATTTGAGATGTACATCATAGCAGCCCCATAAATATGACAATTACTTAAAAACAAAATAGAATACAAACAATCCTGGAGGCAAGAAGTATTATTTAGCAATGAAAGGGAGGGAGGAAGGGAGAGAGGGAGGGAGGGAGGGAGGGAGGGAGGGAGGAAGATTATGGAAATAATTTGCCATTAGGAAAATGTAGAATGATGAACAGCTGTGAATTAGAGTTTCTAGAAAAGAGTAACCTGTAAACTTCCACATAGAGGCACTAACTGGCCCCCCCAGACTGATAGTTGGGAATCCAGCATGGGACTGACTCAGGCCCCCCTGAATATGGGTCTCAGCCAGAAGGACTGAGCAGTCTAAGGGACCTCAGACAGTGGAACCAGGATGTATCCCTGGTGCACAAAAGGACCTTGCAAACACATCCCCCATGGAGGGATAAATGCCTTAATCTAGAGACAGGAGAGAAGCCCTAGTACCTACTTCACATGACCTGTCAGATCTACATGACCCCACCTGGATGGCATTGCCCTACATGTGGAATTGGGGTGGGGGGATGGGAGGGGAGGGTGGCCAGGGTGCATGTGAGAGGGCAATGGCATTGCCCTACATGTGGAATTGGGGTGGGGGGATGGGAGGGGAGGGTGGCCAGGGTGCATGTGAGAGGGCAGAGAGGATAAAAGGGAGGAAGGGAGGAAGAGGGAACTGGGAACTTCATGTAAAATAATAAATTAAGTAGAAAAAAAGAATATTAAAAAAAATAAATATATATATATATATCGTTTGTTACACACACACACACACACACACACACACACACACACACACACACGGAACAGCTTCTGAGTGAAGTCTCTTGTCCCCTCTTGTTCATAGAGTGAACTCCTCAGGAAGTTTTTATAGAGCATCACTCTATTTTCCTCCTGAAGCGTTTCCGTTCTTAAGCTCCACCCAAAGCATGGTCTTGTGAAGCTCCCCACAGCCCTCTCACCTCCAGGTTGGAGGTGGACTGTTGACCCTTGCTCCTGCCTGACGGACAGCAGATACTGTGACTATGCTCTCATCCATGACCCATTGCTCACCAGCCACACTTGGCTCCTGGGACCTCCTCACCTGAGGACTTTCTTTACCTCACAAAGATTGCTTCCCCGACCCAGCCTAGTGCCCTAGTGACTGGAATGGCTGCAGCTCAGTCTTTAGACCTTCATTCTCCTCTTCCTACATGTATGGGAGCTGCCATCCCTAGCTCTAACCTCTGAGGCATATCCACAATTCACAAGGACAGAGCATCCCCTCCTCCTAGGTCCTACCTACTGGGCACCCTCATCTCTTGTTCCCATGCATATCAGGGGCACACTTGTCTCAGGGCCTTGCAAGCTGTTACTTCAGCCCATACTCTTGTTTCTAAGTCCTTCCCTTGCTAGAAAGACCCTCCCCCTATTGCAGTTCCTCATATCTAGGGCTAACGGTCCTACCCTGGCTTCAGGGTCTACCCAGTGCTCATCACCAGCTTACCAGGTGCACAGTTACTTCCTTCCTGCTCTGTATTATTATCAGCCCAGCTCCCTGAGAAAGAGGCCCAGGGGCATTGCTACTCTTTTTTCCTCATTTTGTTCTCTGCCTTGGCTACAACGTTAGTTCATAATATGTACTGTGTGCTTCTTAGATACGCAAGCTACATATACAATAACCCGAGATAGAGTGCACATTGCAAATGTTGGCCAGTGGCCAGCATGGGCATTGTATAAAATAGACATCAGTGATAATTCCTAGTAGAGGACCAGTTTGCTATCTGACATGAAAGTAACTTTTAAAGAAGCTTAGATACTGGCATTCTTTACAGATTCCATAGTCAGGCATGAACCATGAATTGCTGGATTCGGGGTTCACCTGGGTCGTAATGGCCTACATAGCGAAGGGTACCAGACACACCAGAACTCAAATTTCTCAGAACTTTTTCTTTCCAGAAGGCCACTTATGAAAGTACTCCTACTTGGCTCAGCTATTGGAGCTTTTCATGAGTTTTTTGAAACTTGTTTTCCATATGACATTTTTTCAGTGCCATTCAAAATGGCAAAATTCTATCTTTTGAAGGTAGATGTTTAGAAACTACCAGAAAGTATTACAAACTAAATGTTGTGTGAGTAATAATTGACTACCCTGGGACAGAGAAGAAACAAGTAGCATTGTTTGGTAATGACAACATTCCTTACTATGAAGGTAATGCCCAGTGGAAGACTCCCAAGATATTGAACTGTGCTTTTGAGTCTGTTGTGAGTGCCCTAGAAGTTAAGAGACCTCTCAAGTACCACACCCAACATTTGGGAGGGAGTCTCTGATTTGTTTGTGTTCACGATAGTGTGCTGACTTTTATCTTCATTAGATCTGTTTTTAAGAGATAATCATACAATAACAGCTTACCCCAAACTGCTGAAATTTTAAAATTTTATCAACTGATCTCTGACTTGAAACAATTTGAACATCAATCACCAAGAGAATCAGCTAGTTTTCTTCCTTTAATTTTGTTATTTTTATCTGAAAACACTCAATATATCACCCAACTGGTATTGTGTAATAGTGCAGAATATTTTTCACTGTAGATTTGACTTTACACCAGGCTTCAAAGGCCTATCAGGAACTCAATTAGGAATATCATTCTCCTACCAGGAGTAATATTGCCACTAATTCTTTTGACATTTTTATATCACAAATCTTTAAATTTCATCTAATCAAATGTATATGTTTCTACTATATTCCATAGGTAATTTACAGATAATTAGTTTGAAATTGGTATAACTTCTTTGCCTCTTTTGGAAGTCTTAGTGAGCATAGTTGAAGATGGAAAAGAAATAAAATTTTGGAATACTATTTGGGAGTGAAAATTCCGCAGCACTTGAAAGCCCTTCATTCTCCCGTTAAACAGTTTTCGGGGATATGTTTGTATTCCATGAATAAATGTTTATCAACAGATCTCTACCCTAATGTAATCATCATTACTTTTCTTTTTAAAACCTTTTTGTGCATATGTTTTACTGTCTCCACTTTCTGTTATCCCACCCAGAAACAGGAACAGAAGAATTAAGTGGCCCCAATTCATATCAGTTACTGAAAAGCAAACATCCCTTTGAGATCCATAACGTTTACAGTTTCTTTACGGTGTCATAATGTTGTTAGCCCCCAAATTTCTTCAAAAAACTGAACTTAATATACATGGACAGAAAAGGCTTTGCTTTGGGCAGGATATCAGGGAAACCCAATGGCTTTCCTACTAAGATTCTTAACACAGCACAGATAGCACTTGAGGATGGAGTCCATCTGTGTACTCCAAATGAGCAATTCCAATAACATCCAAGAAATTAACCAAGAAGCTGAAGAATCTCTAATTGGAAAGGTACCTCTAGAGGATAACTAAGTTGTTGTGATATTTTTTTAATTTAAATTTGAAACACTTGTTTTACATGTCAATCCAAGTCCCCATACCCGCCCTCCTCCCCTCTCCCTCCCCACTAACCCCCATCCTACCCCCTTTCTGCTCCCCAGAGAGGGTGAGGCCTCCATGTGGAGTCTTCAAAGACTGTCATATTATTTGGAGCAGGGCCTAGGCCCTCCCCCCAAGTGTCTAGGCTGACGGAGTATCCCTCTATGTTCAATGGGCTCCCAAAGTCCATTCATATACTGGATACTGATCCACTACCAAAGGCCCCATAAACTGCCCAGTCCTCTTGACTAACACCACATTCAGGGGGTCTGGGTTGGTTCTGTGCTGGTTTCCCAGCTATCAGACTGGAGTCCATGAGCTCCCCCTTGTTCAGGTTTCTATGGATTTCTCCAGCCTGGTCTTGACTCATCACTCCTCCCTCTCTGCAACTGGATTCCAGGAATTTGGCTCAGTATTTAGCTGTGGGTGTCTGCTTCTGCTTCCATTAGCTACTAGATGAAGGCTCTAGGATGGCATATAAGGTAGTCATCAATCTCATTATCAGAGAATGGCATTTAAGGTAGCCATTCCAGTATTGCTTAGATTGTTAGATGGAGTCATGCTTGTAGATCTCTGGATATTTCTCTAGTGCCAGATTTCTCTTCAAACCTACAGTGGCTCCCTCTATTATGGTATCTCTTTTCTTGCTCTCTTCTAGTCTTTCCTTGACTCAATTTTCCGGCTCCCTCATGCCCACCTCTCCCCCCATTCCTTGTAACTCCCTCTCCCCTCCCCCATGCTCCCAATTTGCTTGGGAGACCTTGGCCTTTCCTCTTCTCTCTTTGGAGAAGACATAGACTGCAGTGGGCCACCTTTGAAAGACATCCTGGAATCTGTTCTTGGGCTAGCTATCAATTAGGAAGTGTTATGTTACAGCTTTGAGTGAAACTGCTCAACAGTGTTAGTAACTAAATATCTTGCCATTTCTCTGTCATCAGTAACTTTCCCACCTAAAATGTCAATTTATATTTCACTCCAAGATTTTGTTCTGTGTAGTTTCTAAACTGTCAGTTTTTAAGTAGTTCTCTCTCTCTCTCTCTCTTTCTCTCTCTCTCTCTCTCTCTCTCTCAGCTCTTCAGACATTTACATTTCTGTTTTATATTTTTATATTAAATTGTATTTAAAGTAAAACAGTCTTATTTTACATACCAATCTCAGTTCTTTCTCCCTTCCTCCCACTCCCCCCCCCAACCTCCCATCCCACCCTCATCCACTCCCCAGGGAGAATGAGATAATTCTCTTAAAAACCTACAGAATCCCTTTCTATAATATATTATAAAGCCGGTGCCAGGATTTCTATTCTCATATATCTCTGTTATGGAGAAACAAATTTATCTTTTCAAAGAACAGAACAGCATGGATTGTTGACTCACAAACTACCAAGACAGCATGTAAGCATCACTTCCCACATCATTTGAGTTGGAAATTTGGACATAACATTGAAAAGAAAAAACTAAGAAAGTGTCTGGACTTGACTCCACCTATGAATTCTTTTTTTTTTCCATGGATGTTTGAGACAGGGTTTCTCTGTGTGGCATCTCCAGCTGTCCTGGAACTCACTCTGTAGATCAGGCTGGCCTCGAACTCACAGAGATCTGCCTGCCTGCCTGCCTCTGCCTCCCCAGTGCTGGGATTAGGCATGCTTTGCAATCTCTCTGGAAGAATAATAATCTATAAAATGCACTTGGCACTCATGATATGGTTTTCTGCTGACACAGATGCCCAACACCAGGATGTGATGGAAGTGGCCATGTCACGGGCAACTATGCATCTCACCGCAGGTACCAAATGTCCTTGTATGTGTTAAGATTTCCATCATCCTGGTCTGTTTCATCTCACCTGTTATATCAGCAAGCAGCTGTCTAGATTAGAAAGGGAGTGGGTTAGTTGGATTGAGGATTATTTTATTTTTCAGAGATGTAGACATGGCATGTAGAAGTCATGATCCTTGTTGAAGAGTATTCTGGTCCTGGTTACAAACCAAATCAGGGTTCATGTCTGGCTCTTATCCCACCTAACATTAAAGAAAGAAAGCACAGGGAGGGGCCTCTCTCTAGTGGAAGAGACGTCTCTGGTCCTGAACAAAGAAATAAAGGTGTTGGTGAGGCTGAGCAGGGTGAGAGGCTCTCTTCTGTTTTCCTGCCAGTGGCTTTCCTTTCCCTTAGCCCTCGGCTCAAAGCTGGAGCCATTGTCAGTGAGCTTCAGTGCTTCAGTGAGCACGGACCGTTGGTCATTTCTGATCACTGAGTTCTCATTGGATTAAAGCCTTCGTTTGATAAATAGCAAACCTGAGTTTACAACAATAATTAAAATCCCCTTGAGTCCATGTTCAGTAATAGTAAAACCAGACCCAATCCCAGCTAACCCTTTTCGGTCCTAGTCACCCATAGTGTAACGTATATCACAAACCCAGGACACCAGTGAGTCGGTCCATCCCCGTCAGCGTGGGACTTCTCTTCTTCCTCTTTCCTCTGTAGTGTCTCCGGATGTCCTCTGGCCGATAAGACTCTTAAGTCCCTCATGGCTGCCAACTCTCAGGAGCTTAAGTAAGTGCTGCAAGGCATAACCTCTGTGCCCTTCTTCACCCTGGTGGAGCCCTCATTCAGTGTCCATATTGCCTTCCTAGAGAACATAAAATTGTACCTGGCTGAGGAATAGCAAAAGACACCTGTCAAAACTTGAAGAGGTGGAAGTCTAGCCCTTAACACTTTGCCGGGACTGACTTGCTGGGTTGGGGGCAAACAGGGGAGGTGCTTGTGTTTTACACTGGTTTCTAACAAATGGCATGAGAACACAGGCTTCTTGCTCTTAATTTCAGAATGTATTTACTAAACCAGACTAGTGAAGGTGTAGCAAACATTTTCTGCATCAATTTTAAGAAATCATGAGAATTTTAAGTCTTCCCACTGCTTTTCACTTTTGCTAAACATTGTTCTGCCTCATCCCTATTTTGTTAGCAAGGTCTATAGGCTACATATAGACTAATTCTTACTTACTGATTTTATTTTTCCTACTCTTCTTTTATTCCAACTTTGTCATTTGATGTTTTATATAAATACGTTTGTATTAACTATCCGATAATTTCACTTTAGAATACATCTTAGAGACTTCATAATGAGCAACATAAAAGCCTGAAGTTTTTTTTACACCAAAAATAGTGAGAAGTTGCAACTATATTTCTTATTTTCAATATGTTAAAGTGGAGTTCATTTATCAAGGAAGAGTGTTGAATATTGATATCCACTTTCATAGGTTGAAATACAAGGCTGTTTGGGAATTAGTAATTAATGGATTGACATGTAAGGTACACCATAATGTCACACTCAGTCTAAGTGCCTCCATTGCCACGCCTCAATTATAGCTGCCGCTATAATGGAAGCATGGATCAAGAGGGCCTACCACAATGTCCAATAACGAAATGTTCCATGTAGCCACCTAATAAAGAATTTATCTGTCTTATCCATACAAGAAAAATACATATTTTACTAACATCTTGTTTAGATATTCAAGGGGAAAAAAATCCTAAAAAGGTAGTTCTTGACTTAATAGATAACATATAGCAAGCTATTTATATCATATATATATATACACATGTGTATACATACATACATACATACATACATACATATCTATATATGATGATGATACATAAGCTACGAAAGCATTATTTTACAAAAGGAAAGGACTGGAGAGATGACACAGTTTGCAGAGGAATGATTCATTGCCCAGTGCCCAAGTGTAACTCCGGTTCCAGGGTGTCTGACGCCCTCTCCTGGCCACAGCAGCATTGCACTTCCCTGAACAAACCCACACAAAGACACAGATGCATAACTCAAAATAATTTTAGAATTAAAGGGAAGGGTAAGAAACGTGCATCTAACAGCAGAGGATATGTTTCTTTGTGTAGCTGATTAAATTCTCAATGCCTGTTTCTCTCTGCCTAACTGGATGTTTGTGAATTATTTTATTGGAAAAACTGTGTTACTCCCTACCTTCAGGAATGCATTCCATGATATAAAGCATCCTATGGATGCTCACTGAGATAGAACTTAAGAAAGCGTGTCTGCCATGGTGACACATGCCTTTAACCCCAGCACTCAGGAAGCAGAGACAGGCAAACACCTGTGAGTTCATGGCCAGCCTGATCTACACAGAGTTCCAGACTAGCCAGGACTACATAGTGATACCCTATCTCAAACACTGAATGTATAAGAAATAAGAATATATTACCAACCAGACATCACTCAGCAGTGTTTGCTTTCAGCATGGGTTCTTAACTGAAAGATAGTTGCCTAAACTAAAAGAGTTAGTTCATCCTCTTTAAGTTACATGTGCCGTGATCCCCATCTGTCCCCTCACCTGGCAGCCCACTGTGTTCCTGTGTTTTCCAGGTGTCCAACCCCGGGTTGTGATGGTTCTGGGCATGTGACTGGAAACTATGCATCCCACAGAAGGTAAGACCAACCGCATTTCTCAAATGGAAACTGGTGTGTTGGCAGTGGTGCCTGGTCATAAATCTCATAATCACAGTGTCCTGTACTGTTCTTGGTTGTTCGTTTTAGCTTGTCTGGTTGCCCTCGTGCAAGGAAAGGTGGCGTCAAAATGACTCCTACCAAGGAAGAAAAAGAAGAGTCTGAGCTTAAGTAAGTATGGCTGATGAGGAACTGGGCTGGGCTGTAGCACTAGCCTGGGGATGCCACTGAATCCCACTGAATCCGGACAAGATGAAGCATTAACAGCCACGGCTCCTGGCTAAGGAGTCACGTTCACAAGTTCAAGAATCGTTTCTCCTTTATAATTACATCTCTCCACTTTGACAATGCAGGAGAGAGAGATTTCTCCTTTGCCCATCCGTGTTAAAGGAAAGCAACAACTGTGAAAGTTGTGCTTTTATGGGATTCCTTGCTGTGTGAATGTGTGTGTCTGTGTCTTTATGTGTCTCTTGAACTTTTTCTCTGGCTCTTTGTTTGTTTTGTCCAATGCTCGTTTATTTTTATTTTTATCCACTTTTATTGATTCTTGGTTTTAGATGTCCGTTTGTATCCCAAGGAGAAAGAAAATGGTTGTGGATTTGTGTGGGTGGGACAGTAGAGAGGAGGAACTGGGAGGGGCTGGGAGCGAGAAAGCCACAACCAATCAAAATCATTGTATTTAAACCGATGTTCAATTTAAAAGGGGAATAGAAAAAGCAGTGGGTATGAGCTCGCCTCCATCTCTTGTTGCCTCGGTGGCAAGTCAGCTAAACTCTTACACAAACCTCACTTTTCCCTGCCTGCAAAATGGGATAATGTTCTCTAGTCATCAAAGAGTTTCCAGCAAACGCGAAAGGGGATGGCGAAAGGGGATGATGCATGAACATTTCTCAGCTCAAAGCCTGCCAGCTGTTACTGCTAACACAATGCTATTTTGTTGCCTATTATGTGTCTAAGGTTTCTATTGCTGTGATGAAATGCCAGGACCAAAAGCAAGTTGATTTTGATTTGGCTTATACTTCCATATTACTGTTCATCACTGAAGGAAGTTAGATCAGGAACCCCAAACGGCAGGAACCTGGAGGCAGGAGCTGACCCAGAGACCGGGGAAGAGTGCCGCTTGCTGGCTTGCTCCATCTACTCTCTGCACCACCAGCCCAGGCATGACCCCACCTAAAGTGGGCTGGGCTAGCCCATGTCAATCAGTAATTAAGGAAATGCCCTACAGGCTTATCTGCAGCCTGATCCTATGGGAGGCATTTTCTCAGTTGAGGTTCCCTCCCCTTTAATGACTCTAGTCTGTGTCATGTTGACATAAAATTAACCAGCATATGGTGATACCCTTTGAAACTTCGCTGTTGGTTGCTTCTGTTTTGTATGGAGCTGTTAATTCCTGTTTCCACGCTGATAATGGCTCCACTGTGCTTCCTTAGATGTCCTGTAATAGGGTGTGACGGGCAAGGTCACATATCAGGTAAATACACATCGCACCGCACAGCTTCTGGCTGTCCTCTGGCTGCCAAGAGACAGAAGGAGAATCCCCTCAATGGGGCCCCTCTCTCCTGGAAACTGAACAAGCAAGAACTTCCCCACTGTCCCTTGCCAGGATGCAACGGGCTGGGTCATGTAAATAACGTTTTCGTCACCCACAGAAGGTAATGCTTGTTTTGTGTCTTGTTGCTGTTCCGATTGTTGAGATGTGAGTTACTTAGGGGAAGGTGAAAACCCCCGCAACACCATTATTTATAACACTTGAGTTACATAACACAGTCTTGCTAAGTAGATATTTGACTAGTCTGAAGAATGGAAAGTACATTTTCTGTTTCTGAAAACTCACTGTAGAGATTTCAAGGGCTCTAGAAACTCTATTTTTTCTTATGTTTTGAAATATTGCTTGTGTTGCAATTTTAAGTGTTTTAGGCTTTACTCCTATCCCACGTGGTGCTACTCCGCTCCACTGTGTCATGTACTTATGAACTTCCCCTTACTTATTTCTGTCATCCAGTGTAGCATTGTTTTGCTTCTGGGGAGCTGTGATTTGCCCACAGCAACCTGAATGCAAGCAAGCAGCCCGTGTGTGAGCAGGTGGGACACAAGGACCTGGAGCTCTGTGGTGATATCCCTGGCTCACTTGCACAGTGATGATCTTAGACCAGCTGTTTAGCTCACTTTCCTCCTACCGGAAAAAAAGCTAGAAAGTTCCTGATATATCTCTGCTGTCCATGAGTGCTCCAGCCCCTTGCAGGCCTCTTCTTATGCACTTTTAGGGAAACTTTGATTCTTTTATGCTCAGTATACAAACTGGGCAAAGTTGGGACATTTTGACACCTTTTCAGTTCTAAAGGTCTGGATCAATGATGCCAGTAAATGGTCCCTTGAAATTGATTACTTTCAAAGTGCCAGTAAGGCTGACATATGAAGAAACCTGTATTTTCTGTGCAGAGGTCAGAGGAAATCCTTGACATTGATACCAGAAAATTATCTGTCCAGCGATTGTTTATTTTGAAGTGGTCAGTGCAAGCTCACATCTACTATGGCATACCTTGTTTTAATCTGTTTGGATCATGATTTCCTAGGAACAGCAGTCACAAACCCAATGTGCCCTACGCTGAGTCACCTGTCATTTTGTTGTAATAAAAAAAAAGTGGACCTGTAACCACACTACCCTAAATATGGCCAATGCAGTATGGGAAGAAATGGCATCATGCTCACCTCTGATTTGAGGTGCCCCAACTGAATTTCAGAAATGATAGAAATCGTATAAGACTCATGTTTTGTTGTTTACATTATTTTGTTTTTCTCCTATGGAGCGAGCCCACATAGGCCTGTCTCCAGGCCTGCCAAGCTCCATCTTCAGGTCCATCATGGGAAGAGGAGTAGCATCTCACAAGCTTATGTGTGCATGTGTGTGGGACCCTGAGGAAGGACACCTGAGACTAGCCTGTCACACACACATGGGGGGGGGGGGGCAGAAGACAACCTTGGGTGACTTTCTTCGAGACTGTCCATCTTTTGTTTTAGAGAGGATCTCTCACTGGCCTGGAACTTCAACAAGTAGTCTAAGCTAATGGGCTAGTACGCTCCAGGGATCCATCCCCTGTCTCCACCTTCCAAAGCCTTGCTTTCATGACTATACAAAGTGCTTCTAAGCTGTGTGTAGCTACGCTTCATTAGTGTCTACCTAAAATTTATTGTAAGTTGCAAAATAGATGTGAGGGAGAAGCTGTGAAATTTCAAATGAAATGATACTGTCCATTGTGCTAACAATGGACACCTTTAACATTTCACTTTGCCAATTAAGTACTCCTCTCCTTTACAGCCATTGTCTAAGGACAAGGCATGTGACAATAAAACCCATGCACACCCTCCAGACAAAGAGTGACTCTCCTTGAATCTCACATAGGCCACGATTGTCAGATAGAGGCTCAAAAATGGTTTTGAGCTCAACTTGTGCCTCTCATTTTATTTTCCTGCATAAATAACTCATCACTTATCAAAGATGAGCAAACCACATAGCCTTTTTATAATGTTATCCATTACATATTACCATTAAAGTTTTATATTAGTTTCTGTATTTTATGGAACCTTAATGTAGAATAATGTGGGTATTCTTAAAGCACACAATACTTCACATTTATTAAGGACTTTACTCCAGAAAACTTTTCTTCTACTTGGCATAGCATCATGAACTTCAGGTTGAAATGCTTGTTTTATAGATGAATGGAAACCACGTTTCTGTGGGGGAAATGGTTGATTATTCTCATTTTTATTTTAATCTAAAACTGGTTTCTACAAAGATAGAACAAAACCATGAAAGAATTAATGACTGCTTAGAACAAGAAAATTACCTGATCATAAACGATGGAAAACAGGTTTTGTTCGGTGTTGTCATTGTCACACTGGTGCTATTTAAATAAAGCAAATGACATTAAAGGAAGCAGCCTGCTGAAGAGAGCAGCAATTCAATGGGCAGGGTCATGAGCGCCAGCTCCAATAACAGATCTCCTTGCCCTCCCCTGCACCTGCAGCAGCTGCTTTTATTCCCGTTTCAGGCAGACATTTTTTACATGAAGATAATGTTTTAACAGTTACAGGGAAAAATAGGAACTTTCTGTAAGCAGACCACGTCCTCTGTCGCGAGTGGGGCTTGTTGCTGACTACTGTGCAGCCTTTCTGTGAAGCTCAGACTGAATTGTATGAAACCTGGAAGAACTAGACTCGGCCTTATTCTTCACGGACCCGGGATGAGTGATAACTGCCATTGTTCATGACCTGTGGGCAGTTGTGCATCTACAGGAAATGAAGTGTGTAGTGCACATTCATGGATGTGAACAACCAGTGTTCTGCCTCGTGAATGGGACCGGTTGTGTCAGCAGTGACGACTTGTATCTTGACTTAAGAGAAAAATGCAAACACTTCCATTATTTTAGGGCTTTTAGGTTTTATTTAATATATATTTATTAGTTATTTTCTTTAAAGAACCTATGGATTATGATATAATTAATATCAATAGTTAATAGCAAAAAAAGTTTTAATTTTATGGGAAATGATGTGCATTTCACACGTGGGTGTAAACTCTCTTCTCGCAGCTTATCTGGATGCCCTCTCAATGCACAAGCTATCAAAAAGGTCAAGGTCTCTGAGGAACTAATGACCATCAAGCTCAAAGCATCTGGGGGTAAGTCACCATTTCAGCCAAGGCCCAGGCTGTAGATCCCACTGGCCTCTGTGGATGAATCTGCACTATATCAAAGCGTACTTTCAGTGTGCAAGAACAAAAGGATTCTCTCAAATTTGAGCTGCAACTGTAACATCTCAGAGACAATTTCTTTTTGTCTCCCCTGTTTATCTGATATGGCTTTCCTACAGGCAAAGGTATGAAACGGCACATAGATAAGTGGAAAGGCACGATAATTGTGTCCTTCAATGTTTTCACTGTTATTTTTCCCCCATGCATATACATGTGGGTGGTGTGCACGTCTGTAGGCTTATGTGCACATATGTGTGCATGCATATGTGTTTCCAGTGTATGTTCCTGTCAAATTGCAGTAAACACAATTTCTGGTGCCCTAGCATCTGCATCAGTGTGTTTCTCTGCCTAGACCTTAGTATCAATCCCTTGTTGGCGTTAAGATGTATTATTCTGAGTTCCATAAGAAGCCCCGTTGTTATTTTGGCATTTTTCTAATGTTTCTCAGCATTGTTCCAGGTTATCTCAGGCCTATGCATTCCCCTTCAAAGAGCTTCCTAAAGCATTGGATACATGGTGGCAAAGCAGTGCCATTCTTCAGAAACCGTATTTGATGTTGTCTTTGCTACATGATGACAGCTGAGCCAGAGCCATTGTCTTTTCATCTTTGGTGCAGGGGAGGGAACCCCAGGCCTCTTGCATGTGGAATGTGCACTCTAATGCTGGGCTCAACTGGGGACTTAAAGCTGTTCTCACATTCCTTTTCTGAATGTCCCTTTGGCTTATTTAATGTGAATGTGGGCTTTCAAGTGGGAGATATCTGGTATCATAGAGAGAGGATCTGTCTCTTGAGCTGCCTATCACTCCCTACTCAGGGACACCTTCATCCGGATTATCTACACCATCCCTTAGGTGCTTCTCTCCTTGGCTGCCCCCTGCTGAGACCTTGGGAAAGTCAGCACCCAGATATTAGGGACAGACCAGCATCCTCCACCGTTGCCAACACCCACACACTAAGCAGCTGAGCTTCATCCAGAATGCTGGCTGTTTCTTAGAAGCATCCCATTTCTCCAGGGTCTCTCCATCACATCGCCAGTGAAACTGAGATGTTTTAATGTGTTTTGTCTTTATGTCACTGTAGCTCAAACAGATATAAGGGCAAAGAGCACGAAGTTCACTGCATAATCATATGATGGGTCAATCATATGCTTTCCTTGATCCATCACAATGCTGAGCTAGTCTAACATTCCCAATAATGTCCTTAAAGGAGAACCACGGGTATACATATTTTAATGCTTCCCAAACACACTAGACATCTGTGGGTAGAAGTGACACAGTACCACCTCCAGCGTCAAGACCCCAATGGACTCCAAACCACAGGTAGTGCCAGCCCTATATGATTATAGCTGAACTGTAGTTTGTTTATAAAACTGGACACAGTATGATATTAGCAACTAATAATACAATACATCAATTACAACAACCTACTATATATGTGTTACCAGCAGGTTTTTCTGCCTGCGTGGTCCCAGATCTGCACCAGACCCAAATAACACAGAGAGATACTGTTAGATATAATGCTGTTGGCCAGTTACTAGTATTTCTTATCGGCTAGCTCTGTCTTAAATGTTAATCCATTTCTATTAATCTAAGTGTTTCCATGTGGTCTTATCTTACCGGAGAGAGTGCCCAGCGTTCTGCTCTCTCGGTCCTACATGTTGAATCTCCTCCCTACTTCTTCCTCTCTCCTCCTGGTCTCCTAGTCCCACATATTTTGCTTTCCTATTGGCCAACAGTGCTTTATTCATTAACCAATAAGAGAAACATATTTACAGAATGACATCTCCCATCATCTATGCAAGTTTTTTAAAACTTAGGGGCTTATTTCTTCTTGAACGGCAGTGTCTCAGGGGCTGAGGTCTAACCAGGACTCCAGGAATAATTCTCAGCTATCTTCTGTCTTCTTCTCTGTCTCACCATCTGTTCTGTCTCAACAAAAATCCAGATGTGTTCATAAGATTCAGCCAGATTACTGGAGATGCACCTCAGCAGTGTAGCACTCACTTTGCATGTGCAGAGCGATGTGCTTCGTACTCACAGTGATCTAGAAACATCTTGGTTGTCCTCTCTTTTGACTGAAAGACAGATTTCAGTCTCTTACATGCCCCCCACTTGCCAATATACAGCCCACTTTTAAAAGGTAGGAGTGCCTACAAAATAGCCATCTATTATATAACGTTTTATAAAATTTCAGGTCTTACCATTTTTGCTTCAATTATGTTGTTACAAATTACCCAGAAGCTGAACAGATTTCTCAGTTGTTTAAAATGCTTATTGGTCATGCCTAGGGCTTGACTTCAGTTCCTCACACATTAGGCAGCTCACAACCATCTGGAACTCCAGCTCCAGGGATTGAATGCCTCTTTCGGACCACACAGACACCTGCGCGCGCGCACACACACACACACACACACACACACACACACACACACACGATTAAAAATGATTTTTTAGAAGGGCTATCAGCATCATGATTGTGAATGGGAGGGGTGTCTGGCTTGTTTCAGTACTGGGCTTTTGTGAAGTATGGCTGTATATCTTGTGAGTGCATCCTGTGTGTGAGCCTTTCTGTCTTGGCCATGTACTTGGGGATGAAATTGAAATTGCTGGGACAAAGGAATTGTGAATGAGCATTCACCTTTATTGGCACCTCACCACATCCTCTGTTGTTATAAAGATGCTTGATATTGGAAATTTATATAGAATAGAAGTCTATTAGGTTCATGGTTCTGAATGATGGAAAGACCAAGAACATGTTGCCAGCATCTTTTGGTCATGTAGTGAAGGCCTTCCTCTGGTGAATAACTATACAGTATGAGATATCACGGGGCGAGACCAAGACTATTTCCTTTCTTTTTTGGTAAAAACACTAAACTAAGGTCTCATATTTAAACATAAAATAGACTATTGCTGGACCTTGCCTCCTTCTTTTCAATGTGAACTGTTGACTCTTCACAGGTATTGATGGTGATGAAGAAATCAGGCATTTGGATGAAGAAATAAAGGAACTGAATGAATCCAACCTTAAAATTGAAGCAGACATGATGAAACTTCAGACCCAGGTTTAAAAAAAACATTAATTAGTTATTTTTAGAGTAACTATAACATCTGGTAGTCACAAAGCTTTGGGCTTCCTAAATCTTGCATCTGAAACTATGCTGATGCCCTAGTGAAATGTGTTTGTTTGAGTGGGTCATGCCTGTGTCTACTGACTTTACCTCGCTGGCATAAAAGATCCACTTTGTAAACAAATAAAGTAGATGACCATACAGACTCCTGTAGGGCACATGGTGCTTTGTAGAGACTTGTGTCACAAAGGTTAAGGATCCTTTGTTTTATTAAAAATTCTCATACAACATCACACTCTTTAAATGTAATTCTTCTAGAATATTGCCTTGTGCACTAAAAGCAGATTTTCTTGTATAGATATTTTATAAAAGCAAAATAAAACAAGAAACTTTCTCTCTCTCTCTCTCTCTCTCTGTGTGTGTGTGTGTGTGTGTGTGTGAGAGAGAGAGAGAGAGAGAGAGAGAGAGAGAGAGTGGGGGTTGATTTTAAATGGGGCAGCCAAGCCCCAAGAAGAAGGAAATGTGTCAGCAATGACTTGAGAAATGAAAGGGTTAGCCAACAGTGATGGAGAATATGCCTGGAGGTAGGTTAGCTGGGTAGGGCAAGCTATATAAGGGTACCAGAGATGACACTGGGCTGTTCACATAGTGCAGCCTAGTCAATGTTGATGATCTTGGCATTTTACTTTGATGGATTGAGAGGCCCCTGAAGGGTTTGGAGCTTAAAAGTAATTCAGTCATCTGACATGCATTCTAACTTGACCTTCAAAAGACTGAGTCTGTTGGTATACTGAGGAGGACCAAAAAGAGACTATGCAGAGCAAAGATGGCAGAAGGTCATACATAAGAAGCAATACGATCACACCAATGGCCGGGTCCAGGTGGCCACAACACAGGTGGATAGTGGCCTTATCATGAGTTTTAAAAGAAGTGCTCAGTGAATTTGAAGTATGAGAGAAAGAACCCTGAGTCTGGACAGCATTCGGGTCGTCATCCACTGCAAAGAGATGTGCAGCTGGAGCAGGACTGCAGGAAATAACAGATATACTCTGTGGCATGTTGCCTTTGAGATACCCACCATCTAATCATGCAGAGAAGCTAGAGCTGCAATTCATGCAAAAGTCTGTGTTTAAAGTACAAATCTGAAGGTGTGAATCCAATACTTAGGGCAGTAGGCAGGGCTGTAGTTTGGGGAGGAGATGCCCCTTGGCCCTTATATCCAGCCACAGATTTTCCCCTGAGGCCTTGCGTGGGTCCCCAGCTTGATTCTCCTACCACTACCTGTGTTTTAGATAACATCTATGGAGAGCAACTTGAAAAGCATAGAGGAGGAGAACAAGCTTATAGAGCAGAGCAATGAGAGTCTGCTGAAGGAGCTGGCAGGGCTCAGCCAGGCGCTCATCTCCAGCCTTGCCGACATCCAGCTGCCGCAGATGGTAAGACCAAGAGCAAGGCTCTGCCGTCCTGTCGCCCACTTCGCTGTCATGACCCCGTGGCTGTTGCTATCAGCAGTCACCTACCCTGGATGCGTTCTCACACTCAGAGATCTCCCCATCTGAGCAAATGGTACACACACTCAGATTAATGAAGGCCAGTGACGTTCCAAAGCCAGGGTCCTTTAAAGATGAAGGTTTGCTTGAAGATATTTTATAGTTATATGAAAGCTGGAGGCCAGAGCTCACTCTCAGCAAATATGTTTCCAAACAGAGGAGTCTATGCAGCCTCAGTATCATCCCCCAGCTCATGGACTGTACCCTAAACAGTTCCATCCCCAATAAACTCCTTGTAATGTTCAACTTCTGCTCCTGGAGCACAGAACAGGTATGCTCGAGGCGTCCTTATTCCTATAAAACCGAAGGAAGCAACTGATTAGAATTCACAAAAAGTTTATACTTTTATAACTATGAATCGGTCTTTGGAGATAGAGCTGTGATGTTGAAGAGGATATTGCTGGATGCTGTTAATCTCCGCAGGGCCTGTATTCTTAGACCAGAACTGCTAGTTTACATATAAGAGGACTTAAAGCAACAGCAATGGAATTAATAAAAATATAATTGGGTCTTGCTAAAAATACTAAATTACTCAATTTATTTAACTTTTCAACAATTCCAAATGCCCCCCCATCAATAATTTACCTTTGGCTTCTATCAAGGAGATTATTATCATTTTTCTTTTGCCTCTTTTTCTAGCTCCTTCTCCAAATGTGTGTTTCTTAGCATTTCCTTCATTGTCAGTGCCATGGGAATGACTGACAATAAGATAACATGTACCTACCCACCATCCAGTGACCATCTGGGGTGCTGTGTCAGTGACTGTAGGCCAGATCACATGAAAGCTCCCCGTACACTGAACACTTAGGATTTCCCAGCTGTAACTGACAAAGCCATGGCTCAGCTTCTACCGCGGGGTGAAGACTCAAATGGCATGAGTCAGGAAGGCGTGGGACAGTGAGCCCCCTGGCCTTCATCCACTCTGCCACCAGAGTCTTTGTGCCATTACATGATTCTGCAAGAAACACATGCCCATCCAAGGTAGAAACTAAAAGGGAACAATTACAACTAGGCAGCATATATATTCCAGATCAGAACTCTGCTGAGACACTAAATCATCTTCAGATCTAGAAAACTTACCTTCTAAACAATAGCAATTATAATCATTTTCTGCATACTTCAGCTGTTTACTTATTTTTAAATCCTTCCTTCCAAGCACCTTGTAATGGATTTTCAAAAAGGTGGGAACATGGAGGCACCATACGTGGCTGGAGGGTGTTCCCTTTTGTCAGTCATTCATGTCCTGCCTCATGCATGCTGTTTACATACAACTAGTATGTACCCACTTTAAAGTATATTGTGTATGGGACTGAAGAGATAGCTCAGCAGTTCAGAGCAGTGGTTGATCTTCCAGAGGGCCCAAGTTCAATCCCCAACTCCTACCTAGTGGCTCAGAACTGGCTGTAACTCTGGTTATGGGGTATAGGACACCCTTTTCTGTACACATGCATATACTCTGTGTGTGTGTGTGTGTGTGTGTGTGTGTGTGTGTGTGTCTCCCAGCATGGCAGCACTCCCCTTTAACCACTTTATTTCTAGCACTTGGGAGACTGGTAGGTCTCCGGGAGTTTAAGGCTAGCCTGGTCTATAAAGAGTTCCCTTTCTCAAAAAAAAAATCCATTATATTGGGTAAAGAAGATGACAAAATACGATCCAGGGTAAAAAAATGAGTCCATCTAAACCTTCTAACACTGATATTCTCCCTATCTAACACTGATATTCTCCTTATCTAACACTGATATTCTCCCTAAAGAAATAGAGAGGGTGAAACAAACAGTTTTCATACTAGAAAATCTCTGTCACACCTGTTAGTGAGCAACTGGCTTAAGTCTCAAATCCCTGCCATTCACCTAGAACTGCTAAGGAATCACCTGGCACAAGCAAACCTTCATCCCCTGCACACACCTTCCACAGATGCTGTTTGTACTGAGCAAGTGAAATTGAGGCCAAGACTCATCCCAGATAAAGAACATTGTTTGGAGACATCTAGCTCAGCAGCTAGATGCGTTCATTATATGGCTTCAATGCTGTTCATTCAAGTGTCATTAATGCCATGAATGGAGAGTGAGCAGATAGACCCTACAAACACTAACACTTGGATGTCCTATCCCAAACTGGCACAGCCATATAAACCCTTCTCCTCCTACTTACATGAGTTGGCAGCATGCTTCAGTGTCTCCTGGTCTTCTTGGGGCAGGTGAACCTCTGTGATTGGTTCCATGTGCTTTGTCTCCATCAGGGGCCTATCACTGAGCAGAATTTTGAAGCGTATGTAAATACTCTCACAGACATGTACAGCAATCTGGAGCGGGACTATTCTCCGGAATGCAAAGCTCTACTGGAAAGTATCAAGCAGGCGGTGAAGGGCATCCACGTGTAGGAGGGCAGCATGCAGGAAGCAGAGGTCACCACAGCAGTGAATTCACGCCGACCCACAGGGGCCTCTCACCCCTGGAGCCTGGAGGCTGCCCCCTGCATTTATGATTGCAACATTGCACTAATTTTCCCCCAGCTGACATAAAAAGGAAAGAAAAACTATGATAAACTCTTTGGATTAAAAGTAATGCAGTCAATTATTATATCTCATTTATTTTCTTATCTTTTTCTTTTATTTCTTCACTGTACTCTTTATTTTGTAAAGTATGTATAAAATAAATGTGACATTTTATATTTTATTTATTACTAATCAAAGAGTTTTTTATCTTTTAACTGCATTTTGAAGTCTACCATATTTTTACAGGTGTGTTTATTAATTTATCTTCTAATAGATTTAAATAGAAATGCTGTTCTCAAATCACACACATCTTTCTGGGTTTAAGTGAGAAAAACAACAACAAAACATGAGGTGTAAAAGAAATCCCTGTGTCAGGACTGCACTATGGTCAGGTTTGGTTTCTACCGTACACTTCCTTTCTCCCTTTCCTGGTTTTGTACATGGCTTTTGGTAATATGAGCTGCAAAGGAATATGAAGATAGATGGCGCCCACTAGTGGAAAATCTTCGTTCACAAAAGCACAGGATGCTGGCAAACAGTGTGCTCAGAATTTGATAGCAATAATTAAATAAAAGGGTCAGCAGAATATTCCACGTGGCTGCACGGATTTAATTAATATGAATTAAAGATTTTAAGTGAATCAGAGTTGTCTTTGTTTTTTAAGTCGCATTGGCTAGTTGGCAGCCCTTCCTCAAGATGAGAACTAAGCTTGATGTGACCAGCCAGGCTTTTCCTGCTGTATGTTAATACAATATTACAAGTGACAATATTGGTATAGAATTGTGCATAGCAAATACAGACACCTCCAAATGGAAATTTTGTAGATACCATATCCCCTGAAATAGCATTTATCTTACTGGGTTGACGGGCAAAGAGTGGAAAACATAATAATAAGATATGAAAAACTGTTATCCCAATGTGAATATTGGCAACATCGGTCTGCACTTCCCTAGGAAATACGACAACTTTCAATTTGATATAACTCTTGAGCTCTACACACATGCACACACACGCACACACACACAACACACACACACACACACACACACCGGCTCAGTCCACACGTTATGAACTCACAAACACTCATTCACACATGAAATTGAGTCTAAAATTTCAACGGGACCAGAGTTTAGTAATTGCTGTAGTAAAGGCAATGTCTGTTTCAGGGACTGTAAAGTAGTTTAAGCATTGTTTCAAAGGTTGTTTTATATTTATTTTTTTTAAGGAAAAGGTATAGACAACCAGCTAAACTGCCTTTCTGGTGTGCGCACACATTTCATGTGCAGATGTGCCTCTGTGTAAATGTACACATGAACTTTAGTGTGGGCTTAATTTTCTGTGCTATAATAAAGTGCTTATTTTTTATTAGCCTCATGGATATTTAGACTTAGTGTGATGGCATTCACAGGCTTGAATTCACTGTTACTACTGTTACCTGATTAGATCCATGAAAAGGGGTCCAGCCAATCCACTGTCATGGAAACGTGGTTATTGTTATGCATCAAGTGGGGCTTATCTTTGGCTTGGGGTTCATTTGAACTCTTGAATCTTAGTTTAGTGAAAATAAGATGTCTGTTCTTAGGTAGGAAAGGTGTTTATTTAAAACTCAGTTTAAAAGAAGCAGCCACCATGAGTGGTATCTACTAAAAGTGGAACATACAGTTTCCTATTAAAATATCTCTTTGAACATTTTGCTACACAATACTTCGAAGAAGCACACAAATGGGCTCACTTATTACAAAGACAAAAGTTTACTTTGCTAAATATTTTAACAAGTTTGTTATATATTTTATTTAAAGAGACCTCTTACAGACCTATGTATTTATTACTATGATTTACATGGCTTCAATTAATTTATTTGTGTTCACATAGTTTTATGAAGTGTGTCTGTATTTATTTGCCTCCTTGGTATTTGTGTTTTGTAACATGCACTGAATTGTTTTGGTTTCAATTATGTTAATGGTTGATACTGTAAATTGGGTCTTTTGTAAACAAAACAGGCAATGATGTACGTACGCATTTTTATTTGAAGTAGTTTGTTTGTATACGGTTTCTTCAAATAATTAATATTTCTTACATCAATGCAACAAAGTTGTGTTCAGTGCTGTACATTTGGTGTATGGTAGGAAATAAAAATTGGTACTGAATTTTTCTGTGATATTTATTTCGTTAGTTTATGAAGACAGATGCCATCATCCCTAAGTCATTCTAAGGACCTGAGGAGTCCTTGCCTGACAGCAAACTGCTGGCTGTCCTGAATATAGCTTACATAATGCAAGCTAGGTTGGAAAAAACAAATGTACGTAAGTCTTGAGTGCCTATTATGCTTTTGTGTTCTCATCTAAGTCATCAGTATTCTCTATTTTCTAGTTTTTGCCCAGATTTCCGCATCTCTTAGATCTGGGTGTCCCTCTGAGGTAGTGTAAAACTCACACAATGAGGTCAAATTAACTGGATAGCAGAGGCAGCTGGGCTAAACATGGGTTCACTTTCACAGAGCACCACATACTTTGAGTCACTGGGTGTACACGAGATGCTCATGATGTGTTCTGAAAAAGCCACCCATGTGATTTGATGCAAAGCTGCTCAGTCTGAATCTTACCTGGTTGGGACCGCCTATCAGAAAGTAGTATCGTAGAAGTGTACCAATCCTACTGGAATTTAGGAAGGAATAACGAGCAAGATTCATCCTTATCATAGATTTCCAGTCAGAACACACTGAAGACATCCACTTCCTGAAGTCTTAAGTCCATTTAGTGGGGACAGTAACACCAATGGTGAGTGTTATGACGTGTGAATCTGCTTACAAGTTCCTGTGGAAACAGTGAGAATTAAGTTAGCCCACTTCAGTTTCCTGGAAACGTGTGAGCTCCAGATTAGTTGAGGCGGTCTGGCGAAGAGGGGACAGGCAGAGGGACCACACATACCTTAGAAGGAAACTGCCACCAGCCGCTGGGGATGTGCAAGCAGCCAGATGACTGGAGGCAAAAAGTAGAGGGAAGTGGGGCAGGAATTCCCAGTGTAAAGCTCCAGGCTTGTGACCCTAATTCCCAGGAGCAGCTTTTGCTGTGCAAAGAAAGGTTCTCTTTCAAGGCTGGGTGTGGTTCAGCAGTAGAGTTCCTCATCACAGACAAGCATCCTCATCTTCCATTGCTAACTCCTCCCCTGGAGGCTTAGCAAGACCAGGGTAAGGGATTCGGGTTTCAACTGGAGATAATTTGTCTAGCAACACAAATATTTCTGGCACCAGAGCAATGCAACTGTGTTCAGTATATTCTGTGTGTAACAAAATGTAAGCTCAATCTGGACATCATTCCATAGTCATTTTCTATTTATCACCATTCCATAGGAACACCCTGTGGTTGTTAGAATTATGACAGACATGCCCTACTGGATCCAGAGTCCTGTATGAAAAGAAAGGGATGGATGAATTTAGAAATTAACTTGTTCTGTCACATAAGGGTCTCACCACGGTTTTCTATGTGTCTTCCCACACATCACACCCACTTCATTGTGGTCTGCAAGTAGTGCCTTCTGTTTTCTTTAGCTCTCCAGCGTATGACATACAGTAAGCCGATTGAACTTGCTAATAACTGTCCACACTGTCATTCGCAGTCAGTGAGGCTTTGTACACTCAGAAACTTCTCAAGCGTACGGAGCAGTATCACCACATCCAATGAAAATGTTGACATGGCTGGTTCTTGGATAAGACTATCAAACTGGGCAAAGTGCATTCCAGATTCAGCCGTTCATTTGCTTGAAAAGCTAATCGAGTCTCCCCAGTGTTTAAAGGAAACCCACCGAAACGCTTGCTTTTTACCATAGACACTGGCCCGCACTTCCAGAAATAAGGAAGCCTAGTGTGCATCTCTAACCACCACTGCTTTGATCAACAGGGTCTTTTCAGTGTCTTGCCAGGAACTGTTTCATCTGCAGGATATAAGTGAGGGTGTAATGAAAGCATGACTAGACCACTCAGTAGGAAGACAGCTTATTTGGGGATTCACACTGCCAGGCTTTGGGGGGAGGCGCAACAGGCAGCAGAGAGCCCCCCTGTCCCTCCCCCCCATCTCTAATCCTACTGGCTCAGAGCTTCTCTGAACAAAGGAGAGGTGCTATGAAAGTCCAGGTCTGCATTCTTGGCTATTTAATCACACATTAGATATATAGAAAATGTGTGCTGTGGTTTGTATATATTACTTAAATCTCACAACAGTTCTATTCTGTATGACATGCATGCCATATTTTAAGGATTGCCTGTGTTCTGGATCAGGCTCCCAGCTCTGGTCTACCCACTCTCCAGCCTCCCCTCAGCCCATTTCTCAGAACTCCCTCCTCGTCCCAACAGTAGCTGCTGAGTACTAAGTTTGACTAGCAGCACAGGTTGAAATATTTATTGGTGTACATTGGTTTGAATGCATTGCCATTTTACAGTTAATTTATCCTCCTCTTTTTACTGGTTTTGGTTTCTAGCATTCAATATGACTTCTAGAAAAACTCATGTGACTCTGTTCTGTCAGCAGGGTTGTGTTCCATTTCTTCTGCCAGAAGTTGTTCAAAAAGGCAAATGAAGAAAATAGGGAGATAAAGAAACAGAGGTTATAAAAAGGGGAGGGAGGGGGAGGAAGGGAAGGTACAGCAAATGAAAAAGAAAAGACAAAATGTCTTGCTTTTTACCCTTGCCACAGATTGGAAATCATATGCTTCTTTTTAGACCCAAACCAAGTGGCAATCGTAAGGGCACAAGGAAATGTGAAGAGGGCCACAGACTCAAATAGAACATGAAAGTAAAGAACATTTCCTAATACGCCACCATACGGGGGTCAGTCATTCACCTGTGCAAGATGGCGATGACCCTGAGAGGGACATAGGCTCCTTTCAAGCAGAGCTCGGGAGTTTCGGGGACATTAGGTCATCTCATGTGGAATTGGTTGAACATGCAGCAGCTACACTAGTGTACTTTTAATTGGCTGAGACTTAGTCTTAGCGTTTTTTTGGATACATCTGCACAAGACTAGCTAAGTTCAGATGTGACTCAGAGGGGACTGCTGGATGTGTCCTTGAGACATGGTGAGGCTGGCTCCGGCCTCATTCCCTCAATGCAAGAGCATTGTGTGTAAATGACCCTTTGTGGGAAAAGCACCTGCTCTGCCCTTTTCAGAGAACTGAAACCTAAATTCAGTTGTGAAAGTGGGGGGGGGGGAGATTAACCCCTTCAGTATTCATATAGTGACATCCAAAACTGCAGTGAACACTAAATGCCACTGGTTCTCCTCTCTCTCTCTCTCTCTCTCTCTCTCTCTCTCTCTCTCTCTCTCTCTCTCTCTCTCTCTCTCTCTCTCT